CCCAGGCGCAACACGGCGTCGACTGTCGAACGCCCCGCCCGAAAACCAAATTGGGCGTCCGACAGATCGGGGCCCACCTCGCAGAGGTGCCGGACGATGCGGGCAGAAAGAACCCTCTCAAACAATTTGCCCGCCTCGTCCAGCAGCACGATGGGCCTATAGGCCGCGACCGAACCGGCAGGCCGTAGCGGCTTCCTCAATAGGACCAGCTTCCCGCTCTTCCAGCACTCAGGGAAGCGTCCCGACGCCAAGCTAGCGTCGAACACCTCCCCGAGGCGGTCTGCCATGTGGTTGAGGGCCAGGGCCAGCACTCGGGCCGGTACCCCGTCTGGCCCAGGGGCGGTGTTCTTGGAACGGATCCGTAGAACAGCCGCCCCTACCTCCGAATCCCGGACGGGCGGAACATTATCCTCCCCGTGCTCCCCGTCGTCTCCGGCCAGGGAGGCCATCGACGGGGGAGTGTGTTCCGCTCGTTGTGGGAAAAGGCCCTCAACCACTTCTCGCAGGAAGCTGGGCTGGAGAGTCTCCGTAAGGGGGGGGCCCGACGCGCGGAACTTTTGTCGCACCGCGCGGTAAGGGCGACCCCAGGGGTCACGATTAAGACCCTCCAGCATCTCCCTGTCTTTTTTCTTCTTTGGCGCGGCTAATGGCCAGCTTCAGAGTTTTCCGCGCCCGTCGGTACTCCTCATGAAGCCGGTCCTCCTCACCGTGTACAGGCCGGGCACGTGTACAGGCCGCACGGAGGTCCGCCAGCTCCTGGGACCACCAGTAGACCTCCTTCCTTGGAGGCCGACGACCTCGAATGCGGGGCATGGCCGCATTGCAGATATGCGTAATCGCATCGCGAAAGCGGCCAGCCCCCACGTCGACCTCCTCGGTCGGAGCCTGAGGAGACAGCCACGAGTGAATTATGGCTGCCTCCTCTAGTAGGTCCCGGTTCAGTCTGGCAACAGCCCACCGCGGAAAGCGGGATAAACGCCGCGCCACGTGACCCCTACTGGAGTCCTGGGTCCGGGAGAGCTCAAATCGGATATACAGGTGATCCGAGAGCGTCTCAACCTCTTCCAGGACACGCCAGTTCCTTACTCGTGCGGCGAGGGCAGGGGTAGCGAACGAGAGGTCCACTATCGACCCCCCCCGCTGTCGCACGCACGTGTTGGTGGAGCCTCTGTTTAGAAGACAGAGGCCCACCGAGGCCGCCCACTCCTCTACGGCCTCGCCCCTGGCGTCCGCCCTGGGGGAACCCTACGCAATGGACTTTGCGTTGAAGTCCCCCAGCACAAGGACGTGCCCAGACGCTAGTCGCCGTATCGAGGTCTCCAAGCTGGTTAGGAAAACCTCGAAGTCGTTCAAACTCCGGTTGGGGGAGAAATAAACACCATATATGGTGATCCCCCCCCACTCGACGGCAACATATCCAGTGCCCTTGTCTCTTAGCGACAAGGGCGGGGAATGAGCCGTCGTGGAACCGACGACTGCCACGGAGCCGTCCCAGTCACCCATCCAGTTTGGACGGGGAGGGACAGAATAGGGCTCCGCGACTACGGCAACACCTATCGACCACTGTGCCATGGTTTGCAGGAAGAGATCCTGCGCCGCGGCACAGTGGTTCAGGTTCGTCTGGACCAGGAGGTTGGAGACTTGATCCATTACTGGATCGTCTCTACAACCTCCTCCATGGGCGACGACGTCGACGCAATATTGACGTCGGGGGGTAGCCTGGGTCGACTGGCTAGCCCCTGACGTCTGCCGAGAACTGCGGGGAGGCTTGCAGCCTCTCTGCCCCATCTGGTGATAGGCGGGCTTATTGCCCGCCGCGCACACTGGGCAGTGAGGGGCGGCAGAGCATTCTGCCGCCTTATGCCCCGGTTGACCGCAGCGGAAACACAGTCCGCCGCAGTCAAAACAGCTGTCGCACTTGACGCGCGTGTGTCCCGATGCTAGGCATTTGTGCTACAAATGCCTAGCATCGGGACACACGCGCCTCCTCATCGGACACACCACCTCATCGGTCTCGCCGCCAGGACTGTGATCCTGGCGCTCACGAAACCGATGAGCAGCCTGCCGGCGTCGGCCAATACTTTGGCCGACGCTACGGGACAGCTGACCCACACGGCGCCAAGCCCTCCTGGACCGGGGCGGATGGTGCCGACCCTGACGTTGTCCGCGCTGCACCCCGTCTTCTCCCGGATTACAGCGCGGACATCTTCGGCCGTTACGAACCCGAGATGCGCAGCTCTGCGCACTTAGTAGGCATGGCGATCTTTACACCATCCGTGGCTGTAAAGAGTCCCCGCAGCTTCTCGGCAAATGTGTCCGCCGTCTTAGCGCCTTCAGCCCCAGGGAACTCGAGGACTCGAGCTCCCGTCTGGGCGAGGCGCATCCTGACCCCCACCGTCCCAAAGTCGTTGGCGAGGCTGTCCCGGGCCTTTTTAAAAACGGCCGCGTAGGACAGCCCGCCGTCAGCCGCCTCCGGGGACACGGTCACAACTACAGCCGCGGTTTTGGGCGGCTGCAGCTTCCGCGGCCTCTTTGCAGAGGCCGTTGCCACCGGTGGCGAAGGCTGGGCTTGGGCTGCTTTTTGGGCAGCCCTTCTGGCCCGCCTTCGGGACTTCTTGGAGCCCCGCGCCTCCTGCCAACCCTCGTTGGAGGGGGCAGGTGCGGAGGGGCTCGGCAGGGGTGTCGGAGTGGGGAGCGGAGGGAATGCCACTCCGCTCCTCGGCGCTGTTCTAGGCCCCGTCTTGGCCGGCGCCTGGGGATGCGCCCTGGCCGGCGCCTTAGCCGGTGCCTTGGCCGGCGCCTGGGCCGGTGCCTTGGCCCCCCTCCTCGGCTTTTGTGGAGCCGATGGAGTAGGGGCAGACGCCGCCGCCGCGTAAGAAACGCGGCCTCCCACAACGGGGAGCGCGGTCGGAGCGGCGGCCTTAGGCCGCTGTACCGACGCGAGCGGGGGGCGCATAATCGGCGCAGGGGGCAGTCTCGCCTCCAGGCCAGCCAGGCGTCCGTCCAGCATATTCCCAACTGCGATGAGGATTTCTCGCACGCTCCCGAACCTTGAGCAGGAGATCCGCGATCTCCTCCTCCGCTACGGCCTCGCCGTCCACTCGTACGCTCCTGTAGGACTCCGCGTTTGAGAACGCGGAGCCTGACGGGGTCGAGACCGAGGCCGGTTTACGTGCCCTCCCTCGGCGGCTGCTTGCCACCTTTGGTGGCATCATTTCGCCGGACGTGTCGGTCCCCTCTTCCCTGGAGCTTCCATGGCGTCCGCGCCATCCGATGAGACGGCGGATCCGGAACGCAAACGATCCGATGCCCTTCGGCTCCCAGAGACCAGAGTCAGACTGACCTCTGGGAGCCCCATCGAGATAGGCGTTCCCGACGCCATCTCGCCCTCAGTGGACGACCCATCCGCTCCACTGTTCTGCTTCTCATTCCTTCGGTTTGCTTCTTTTTCCGTTAGGCTTGCCTGTTTTCGTTGTGTTTGTCCGATCGTTTTTTTCAAGTTTTTGTTAGCATTTTCCATAGTAAATCCCACGAGTGGGGGAGAACTAGAGGTCCACCCGGGCAGAGATCCCCCATTACCCGGGCAAGCGTAAGTTTTTAACCCAACCGAGGGGTCCGCAGGTACCTCGGCTTGGAGTGCGCTCGCGACTGAACTTCCCATCAGCCATGCATCCCCTGGCCACGCACCAGAACACGGGATTCGGGGAATTTTTTAGAGAGGTTATCTTCCTCGCGGTCCGGGCGGTTAAGCCAAGACCCTCGCCCCCGATCAGAGCCGCGAGACTTAACCACAGCGCTCTTCTCGGGATTACGATATGCCGACGGTTGACAGGGAGACTACGTCCCCCTGCCTGCTCGGTGGTAGTGTGAGTACACGCCGAGACCCTATACCAACCCGTCAGGCCTGTGCCCGAGTTCTGTTGATGTGTGATGTGATGTGAAAACATTTAAATGCCTGATGTGATATAGTAACGCTTAAAATTCAAAAATACATATAATGTACAATGCATACTCACCTCTGTCTCCTGGAAAATATAGATACAAAAATACCAATACCACATAACTAGAAAGATATTTATTGTCAACTGAACTCTTTGAGAATCAATGGTGTAAAAATTGGAAGCAAATAAGATGCGAAAGTATTTAATGACGAAAAGTAATGCTTGTATACAGAAAAAATTTAGAAGAATCAGAAATCCAACCAAACTGTCCCGAAAGTTTGAGATCTCTAAGTTCTTTCCTTTTTTCAGGTCGTGATTTACATCATATTTTACGAATATTCTGATGCAGAAGAATTGTATAAACTGCCACTGTTGATGCTGAGACAAAAACCTCAATACGCATATGATTTTTTATCTAAATTGGCTAATAGTAAAGTTGGAACTGATACACAGTGGATTATAAAGAACAAATCTACATCTTTTCTTAATGTTTTTAATTTTAAACATTTTGCTTAAGTTATTTTTATTTTTTTGAAAATTCTTAATTTTATGAAGAAAACCCTAAAATTATTTAAATAAATTTTACATATGACTTGAAATAGCTGGTTCGCGAGCTACTTTTTACATTTATATTTTACTTATTGCTATATAAAGTCCATACATATTAGCGACAAATGTGTAAATATTCCGGCCCCTTCGGCAGCCATCGAAACCGATGGTTCGTAACCAGTTAAGGAGGAGGAAAAATGATCTATGTATGAAACCAGTTTCTAACTACGTTTTACGAGACCTACTACTACCAGGCCCAAGGGAATCCGCCACAAGTGTACCTAGCGCTTTCATTGACCCCCAACAGCCTTGATTTTAGATGAATGAACTGAAATGTAGATATTAATATGTATTATATTTATATGTAGTATTTTTATTTTAAGGCAGTGGTAGTAATGTAAGGCTCAATTGTAAGACATAATCAAGAATAAAACGAATTAAATAAACAGTTTTTTTTTTGTATCTTAAATTTTATTTTGGTTCCTAAATTTATTTAAACTAAACATTGGTTCACTTTTTCTGGACAAGGAAGGTTCCCATAGGTCCTCGGTATACACGTGGTGTGTGGATGATCCTGTGGGGGGGAAAAAATTAATTTTACCGAAGTAAGTGGAATACAATAAGTTTTTAACTTAACTATAACCGTTTTCAAAGCCGTTTACTTTAATATACATTATCAAAAACAAGGCTAATGTAGATTATACCTCATACTTTTTTCTAGTACCTTTTTCTCTAAAAAGAAATGAGCTACCTCAGCCACATTCTGATTGCGACGAAGGTGGTGTGTTGCTTACTCTTACTTACATATTAAACTAATCTATAGGAGCATATATAATATATATGCGTTAAGTTGGTTTGTGTACGATTCAAAAATTCTAAAAGTTCTGCAGCGATTAAGCTGAATTTTTGATACAATATACTATAAAACCTGTTTTAAACATGGTTTTTATTTCTTATTTCTCATCAATGCAATCACAATGTGGCACAACGATGCATGGCAGGGTACAGCTAGTTATAAATATATAAAGATAACTCACTCATAAGCAAATGGCAATCTTCTAGCAATACCGTGTCGAGAATTTAGAAATTTGCCATGTCTATATCTCCTTTCGGCAGCGTTCCTGAGCATCTTTAACACTGAGGGTGCATATCGGTAATACGTTGGAGGGCTGACTTTGAGTTCCACAACCTTCTACAAAAAACAACAAATAAAAATTAACACAAAACATGAAAAAGTCTTTTGGGACTTTTTACAAAATTTAATAGATAAAAAATACACATCCTATTTGCCGGGTTTGTATTATTCGTTATATTACTACGTGTAAAGATGGTCATCCTATCTTGAGATAATATAGTGTGTAAAACACCTTGCCATGTCTTAACCATTGTTTGAAAATAAATTGTTATTGAAACCATTAAGTCAAAACCCATTTAGTCAAAATAAAAATATGTGTATTTTTCTAAACTCAATTAACCAAGGACCCGAACATAAAATTCGGTTAAGAATAGATCACGTTTAACGGAGAATAGTTGTTTAGCCTGTAACATAGATGGCGTTGAAATATATTTTAAAACATACCTGATTACAAGGATCAACAGCACACCGTACGGTATACGGAGACCTGACTCGGATTGTAGGGTTTGGTTCGTTGTAGCTTGGAAAGTCTCCAGTGATTGTGTTGGCACCTTTTGTTAATGCTTCACTGAAGGCGTAGAGTCCATCTGATACGGCATCTTTGATTGAAGAAGCTGCCCTCCCAAGCGCATTTACTGTAGGAGTAAATTAAAATAATAAAAGTATTTCAGACTTTTAAAGTGGCAATAAGCATATAATAGGTGTTTCTGTAAATATTATTTTTGTAGAGTGATGGAATTATATAAATAAACTATTTTTTAAATTTCTGCCCATGAAGCTAAAACTTAGTCCCATACACGCCTTTTATTTCCCCAAAGAACCACTTTACCTTTTTTTTAGCACCATACCCGGTGCGAAAAAAAAATGTAACCTTACTTAACAACAAATAAAAGCTACGTGCATAAATTATACATTGTATTAACAATCTTCTTACCTTTGAGCCCCGCACCCACAGTTACAATAGAAGCCATATCTGCAGCCGCTTTCGCAACAGCAGAACCTTTCGCCTTCACCATTTGGGGTACAATCGAAGCAATCCCTCTCGCTGTATTTATTGCTGAACTCGCAATTCTTGAAATGTCCCTAGAATGAGCTGGGGGAACGCACATAACGAGGCATGCTGCCTGCAAGGAACACATAATTTAAAGTTATCAAAACGAAGATTCGGTAATACATATAAAGCGACAAAATAAATGGGATGAACAAACTTGACGATAAAATTTATATATTTATATTATATAGTACACTAGCCGTTTTTTGTAGTTTGACCTTTTTATATGGTCACAGTTCCACTTTTAAGAGTTATGGTACGATTATTCTTATTCACTATCATTTCTCAATAAATTCTCCATCATATACAAATTTAATATATTTTTTTACTTAAAAAACAAATCTGACCGACATTTTGCAGAGAAAAACTTTTTAGTTTCATTATATTAGTATACTTGTAGTATAATACTTAAAATCGTAAAATTATAAAGAAGAATAAGGAACTGTTGAAATGAAAGAACTGTTTAGGCTTTTAGAAGTTAAGAGTTGGTCGTTTTGAACCCTACCAATGAACGTTGGGCGTATAGCTAACCTAAAAAGTTATCAATAACACTAGTAATATTTTATATTCTGAGATTTCTTAAATATGATTTCTTAAACACTCACCAACAACACTAACAATTTAAACTTCATCTTGGATGTTTGTAAAAGTCCTACTGAATATTGGGACGATTTATAATAGCTTTTATATAGCAGAAAATTGCAAAATTAACTAGATACTTAGCAAACGATTCTGGATCATTAGAGCTTTTTTAAAACCACAATGCACAATTTATGCTAATAAGCCCATCAAGAATGTAATGTATAGTGTCATTATTTTATTAGGTTTATTAACATTTTTGGGCAAGAAATTAAACCAAATGTGATTTCGCAGTTTCACCAATTTCTTAAAAAGGAAAAAGCTTTTTGGTTCAAAAAAAATAATTAAAAACAAATCTACTCAATAAATAGTTAGCAGTATTTTGCTTAAATCGATTTAAGTATATTCCTCGTATATTTTATAAAAATTAAAGAACAATACTAGTCTAAAAAACGCTACTATCAAAAGGGTCACAATATGATACGAGAACCTACTATATAGCAATAAATCGTACTATTTGTTGGTGGAAATAATGTTAACCATTAAGTGGAACAGTTTGTTTTCATATCTACCTTCTATTGTACAAGAATGCGAGGCCCTTTTTACAGTACCTATACAAATAAATAAAATTAAAGTGTCTGTTTGTAATGTCAAAATAATAGGTTTTTGGATGCTCACGTAGTTGCTCTGCCTAAAAGTCAGTTTAAAAATTTGTCTGTCTGTTTGTCTGTGCCGGGTAATCTTCAAAACCACTTGACCGATTTTTATAATATTTTAATACCAGGTAGCTGTCTAAATACGGAGTAACTTAGGCTATTTTTCATCTCAGAAAAACTCTATAACGCTTTGTCCGGTCCGGGAATCGAACCCGAGGCCTCATGGACTGCAGTCGCCTACCGTACTACATCACTAAGGCAGCGCTTTTCAAATTGCACACGAACGAAGTCGCGGGTACCAGCTAGCTTATAATATGTCTACTTTTATAAATAGCTATGAACAAACTTCTAATTGTAAGAATTGATATCAAACACGTTTTTTAATTATTTGTATTGTAGTTTTTGCAATATAAATTGTATTGTAAAGTTGACAAGAAAAAGGAACACACTTTATATGTAGACCCTAAATTTTCCAGTCACTCTTTGCTAAGGCCAGCCACAAACTCCAAACCAATCTTTGATACGCCCTTTGGATTTAGCCAGGTTTGGAATTAGGGTAGAGTGAAACAAGGAAAGTAAATATTATTTCATTTAATAATATTTGAAGTATTTATATAGCAAAATCCTGCAAGAACTCTGGCTGAATCGGTTTAAAACAGGATTTCCAAACTAAAAAAAATCATAATGTTCCGTCATGGATTACGTCGTCCAGGATGGAGCAAATCCCCACCCAGAAAGAGTTTGAAGAGAAGTTTAGAAGTAAGATTTTCATCTTACTTGTAGAAATAAAGATATTTGTTGCTGTGAATATAACTAAAAGCCGAAATACTTTACATAATATACTTACTGATTTATGACTCATCTATGACTCATTTATGACAAACAGAAACTAAAAAAACATTATGTATATGCACTGGCTGTAACTTTATTAAATGAGTGCCTTTGACTGTAATAAAATATTTATAATTGGATGTTTATGCTCTTAAGTTACATTTTTTAATTTGTTATTCGCGTGAGACGGTTTCTTTTCTTTGTTAAATTAGGTTTTTGTTATTCATTACTTAGTAATTTTATTCAACTTTGTGGTTATTTTTAAACATCTACGAAAACCGTCTAGGTAGTGACGGACCGGCAATTCCCACACGTATTTTTAAAAGAATAAATTATTAAGCATATAATACGTTTACCTTACAGCCCCTTATAACTCTTCGCTTTATAATTTTCGTAATTTAATTATAATATTAACCTCAAACACGGTCGTCTGATTCATAACTAGGCAGAGCCTGTAACAACTGCTAAAACACACCCATATATTTCTAAATACATGCATAATAATATATATTTTGGATAAATTAAACCCAGACACAGAACAAACGATCGTGCTCATCACACAATTATTTGTCCTGGGTGAAAATTAACCCACGACCTCTGGCTTAGCAGTATGGATCACTAACCACTAGGCCAATGTGGAGTGGAGATAGGGCATAGCCGATTGTCAGGCATAGCCCCTTGATCTAATACAGCAGTATTATTGGGGTAGACGTTTAACACGCCTCTGCCTACCCCTTTTTGGATAAAAACGTGAGTGTAAGTTTGTATGTGAGTGTTTAGTGTTATCATCCGAACTTATGGCTCTTTTCCTCTTCGAGCATTTCATCGGCACTATAACTACCTCGTCATCATCATCAACAGCAACAGCTTTTTAGACCACTGCTGAACACAGGCCTCTTCTTAGAAATTAGGTTTTAGCCTACTATACCCACCACGCTGGCCAGATGGGTTCAGATAGAGTTTGTTTAAAGTTTTCCTTGTCTTTACAAGGCGGTTTTTCTGCATAGTTTGCTCCCTTAGTCGGCCCTTACGACACCCACGGAATGCATAGGGGTGATGACACTCCGTATTCTTAATCCGTCACCACACAGACTATAACCATTTACTTGAAGGTAAGTGGCTATATGCGGCGGCCATTTTTCTTTCAGCGTATTTACAACAATTTTATATTACTGTGATATTTTATGTCTTCAATACTGCACGAAGTAAAAGTTTGTTTATTTAAATAATCAGGGCAGACACTCGCTGTGCCAGTTTAGAGACCGTAGTGAGGCTGTCATGGAACTGACACGTACCTGTTAATTGTTTCGTCCTCTATTCTTAATTGAATACGTGGAGCAGACTTCATATCAATTTTATTTTTGTTTTTAATTTTCCGGGTAGCATTGTACACTGTGTGATATTTCCTCATACCTTCGTTCTGTGTCCAAAAGAGGTTTTTGAAACTATCCTCGAAACATCACCTCCATATCAATACAACGCGTCCTAGCCGAATGGGAACGCTTTGACCATTGAAACAATATTTATAATAATAATAGTTTTTTTTTTTATTAAAGTTTCTAAAACTCAAAAAAAAAACCGTTTAGGTACGAGTCGAACTCGTGCGCCGAGGGTTCCGTACCTACCCAGATTTTACGTAGATTTTCGCGAAAATTTATAAGTACCAAGATTTATCTTAATTTTCAATTTTTTTGGAATTATTCCTTTATTTGTGCTGTAAGACGTTTCTTTTTGCCAAATTTCGTGACTCTAGGTCAACGGGAACTACCATGTAGGTTTTTGACCCAAAACCTATAAGGTATTGTCAATTTTGGTTAAAAGCAAGGTCTTGCAGAACAAGTAAAGAGAAAATTCTGAAAAATAAAAAAAGGACCTTGATTTTTATACACCTAATAGGGACCATATACTTCAGTATCTGGTATAAATTTCAACTTTCTAGGTCTACCCGTTCCTGAGAAAATCGGTGGTGACACACGGACAGATGGATAGACGGACAAGAAAGTGATCCTATAAGGGTTCCTTTTCTACCTTTTGAGGTACGGAACCCTAATGATAGTAACAATTTGGACTTATAACTATATTTTTAATTATAATTAGAAAATATGAGACTTTTTGCTTGGTGTTGTTGTCGAAGTATATGGACAATCTAGTTGCATATCATGCCGGTATAAAAATAGGCAATGTGAACTTCCGCAAATATCCTTCCTACGCTGCAGAAGCAAGGTAACGCGTTACAATAATAACAACAACGGTAACAATAAACGCGTTAGTGTACTGGATGCGTATTTAACTTTAATCGTAAAATTATTATATAAATAAATATTACCCAGTCAAATTTGTTTCAATCATGTTTCATCTTTTTTGTTGAGGTTTAAATCACTTTTGTCGTTAACAAACTACAACTTAATAAACTCCGCATTAGCTAGTGGTCGCATTTTTTGCGCAAATGAGCCGGTTTATAAAAGTTAAGTAGGTACGTAGTTAGATGTGCAATTACAAAGTGAAATTACTATCGTGGGGGAGCCATGCCCATGCCCATATGAACCAGGGTAAGCCGGAGTGATTCCAGGCAATCACAGAAAATCGGTGTTAAACAATCCTTTCGTTGTTTTTTACCGTATGAGTGAGGTTCATGGCCCAAGCTCTCCCCTTTTCCTCATTTTGGGCGAAGGAACTGAAAGGGTGGGAACACACTTGTGACTCCTGAGTTGCAGGTGTAGCCGTAATCACTTACCATCAGGTGGCCCGTCTGCTCGTTTGCCATTCTTTAATGAGCCTATTGCCGTCCACTGCTGAACGAAGGCCTGAAGGAGCACCAACTATCTCGGTCTTGGACAATCTGCATCCATCCGCTGCCAGCCATTTTCCTCAAGTCGTCGGTCCACTGTGCCGCAGGGCTACACGTTTGCCCAATCGTGGTCTCTACTCTAACTCTAGCGACCATCAGTCCGCCTGGAGACATGACTTTCATACTTCGACTTCAGCGTATTGATTCTCCGTGCAATGTCGGTTTTTCTAGCCGATAAATTTCGAAACGAACAGAGAAATAGAGTAACCTACTATTCCATTAAAAGCAAGGTAAGAAATGAAGTAGTCCAAAAACCCCTTATAAAAGTACCTATATTATTTAGCACTACATGGCTATTGGACTAGCGAATGTTAGCTTCCTTCATCAGGAATATTACTGTAATTGGGTGCAGCAGAATTTCTAAGCGTCTTCCTGATAGCATTCGTCCACTCAGATGCAGCTTAATTTCCTCATTCGAAGGCTGACATTATGCTATATTATTTATATATAAAGCGGTAATTTTAAAGGTTATGAAACTTATAACATTTTGAAATATATTTGGTGCCATCACCACTCCCCAAAACTATTTTATGTGCCGGTATATACATTAACATAACAGTTAACGGCACTGGTTTTCTAATAGAAAACCCCTAATGTTAAACTTATATAAAGTCATACTTTAATTTATTCCAGACTTCATTATCACACATATCCTCGCTAAACAATTATTTTTTTATTTTATTTTATTTTATTTTATTTTATTTTATTGTATTTAAAACAAAATATATTCGAAATACAAAGTCACCTTTAGACAAAGTATGCAAGGTTGCCTTGTTGTGTTTAATAAGTATAGTCTCGCCTAGAAATTAAATAATTATTTATCAATCGACTCCATTGCTTTCTATTCCAAACTTAGTAAATATTACTTATACCATTTACACACAAACCAAGAACTGAAGTTCAAGACATTTTCACTATTTAAATGTTGATCATAAGAAAGTAGATCAGTTAACTATCACCACGTATTAGCTCGTGTTCAATTTAGACGCTGAAGAACACAAAACTATGGACAAGCTTAAACTTATTTTACTAAAGGTAAGTTTATGTTAACGATTATTTTAAACATTTCAGTATAACGATATAAGCTAGAAGATAATTTCTAAACAAACTGAACGTGAGCAAATTTATATGACCTGATAATAGAAATTCGTGAAACATAGCGCAAGATAAACTCGCCTAGTATCGACCCCTGTCTAGTTTTTGTCGTTTACAAGTTTTTTACAGTGATAAATAAGCACAATTGCTTTAGAAGTTTGCTTGTTTCATAAAAAAAATGTATATGAATTTACATTGCTTTTTAATCATATTAATCTGAACGAAGCAGATATATAAAATATTTTAAATAGGTTCAAAAATGAGAGGGCTTATTGTAAACTGTCGAGAGGGTTTCATTCGTTATTATTTATTCGCTTTATAGGCGGATATTAGTCAGTAAAGAGGCCAACATTAAAAAGTAATAATTAACTAATACTGTAAATGAAAATATGACGTAAAAAGTAATAAATATATGAAGCTTATGCGGTAGCTCATAAGTTAAATGTGTTTTGACTCTGTTACATAGAAAATTCTTAGTATTGTTTTGTATGTTATTTATACTTGTCAGTGACGACTTCCACATACAACGAAAAAAAATAATTAAATAGTTTAAAACCAAGTAATGAGGACACCCGAAGTACGGACTAAATACTAATCTTCTTGTGACGGATATTTACATACAAATTGATACAACATTTCCCAACATCAACCGTTGGTACCTACAAGGCATGATCGCCTTACCTGGGCCTCAATTCTGCTATTGTATGTTAACGCCAAGCCACTGTCATTCCATTGACGCGCTATTGAGATGCCATTGAGACGCCATTGACATCGGTCAAAATATCAGTATTCTACTAACATCAATTCACAGTGTCAATAGACTATCGATATAGTAATATAGCTCATCAATGGTGATATCAACAACATTGCCATACCTGGAAAATTAAATATATCATTTTTTACAAATTTAAAATGTACCGTGTACCAAACTATTACAAAGACATCGACGACATTTATAACAGTGACAAGTCATCGGGAGGCCATTGGTCTTACATAGTTAGTAGAATTGGAAAAGTGCAAAACTATTCCGACGACATTCCATCGACAGTCTATTGATACAATATTAAAATAGCAGAATTGAGGCCCTGGGCGGAGGATCCTCCTATACAAATAATAAAAATACTAATAAAATAGAAATACTAGCCGTTGCGAACTAAAACAAAAAAGTAAAAGTTTTAGTTATTCCCCTTACTAGTCTCCAATTATAGTCGGTAAAAAAAACAAATTAATTTAATTTGTTTTTTTTTACCGATATGACGTTATGACGATTAAATACCATATAGGTGTTTATAAAAATTTAGGAGCAGCAATTGAAAATGTAACGTTGAAATGCATTTTGCATGGACTTCTCGATTGCATACAATTTTAGTCATTACTTTTTGTTTAAAAACCAAATGAAAATACTTAAAAAAGTGTTTACTTAGTATACACTTTTTTTAGACAAAAAACATTTAGTATACACTTTTTTTTGACAAAACAGACAAAAAAACATTTATGTTAATTTGCATGTTTTATTTTTACATGTCTTTTTGAATTTTGAATAAAATGATATACACAACTGTTTAATGTTACAAACAAAAGAGGAAATTCCATATAGATTTTAAGAAAAAATATTACTTTGTGTTATTAAGTTTAATTACTCGTGCACCTTGAAATTATTAATTTCCGATGATTGCCATATTAAAGATGTCGGTGATGACGTTGCGCTCTGTCTAGCTCATGTACACACACGCTACAAGTCATTCCGTATAAACACATAACAACAATAAACAATAAAGATCTAAGATTAAAAATTTATTCATAGAAAAGTTATTCTTATAGCAAGCAATAACTTTTTAAACGATTTTTAAGAGAAGATGAGGTGTTGAACTTTCTTCTTTTCTCTTCGTTTGTTACCTTAAAAGTTTAGAACTCCATCATTTATAAATCGATTTTACAAAATATTTTTTGAAGTACAACTTGACTTGGGGAGTATGCTGGTGAATGCGTGACGAGAGCCTTACGAAAAGTGTGATCGGCCGAGGCGAACGGCAGTTTAGAGGGAGATATAAGTTAGTGAAGATAGAAATAGAGAGAGTTACGTTTCGTATATTACTGTAGGGGCAAGAGAGAGAGGTACACATTTCTTTCTCTCGTAGCCAAGAAGTTTTACTTCAGTCGTGTGGTCTAAAGCACACTCATTTTTTTAATGGGAAGAGTATATTTCCCATTATTCCCATTTTGAATTGGTAAAAAATACCACCTCTAAAGGCGGAAAATTAAGAAGTTACAATTCATGACGATTAAGGCACATTGAACTCAATGATGCTTTATAACATAATAGGTAATTATTTAAATATATTACGTTTAGAAATTGTTTTATTGAGGTCAACAAACTCACTTACTCGTAGGATTTTGTATTTCAATGGGTCTAATTCGAGTTTATTTCACATCAACTAAACTATACACCCACCAACAACCTATATTTTAAATGTAAAAGTGACCTTGTTTGTTACCCTTTCACGCTTGTTACCCGATTTAAAAAATTCTGTCACCAATGGAAAGCTACATTACCAACGAGTAATATAGGCTACTTTTTACCGTGGTAACCGACGACGAGAAGCGCGCAAAAGCTAGTACTAAATATACTCGCATTAGATCCCCAAAACATTTTAGGAGCATTAACAATGTACCTACATACATAAGTATTCTTTAAGTGTGACTTTTGGACGACCTTAAGACTAAGTAATCTACGAAAGATTAACACCTAATTGCAGGTAAATTTAATATTCATACACAATCATCAGACCAAAAAATATTGTTTTACTAGCCGAGAGAAGAAAAAGGATGAAGGACCATGTATCTTTGGAGATATACAAAACTGATTTTAGTTTACACACACACACACACGGAAGTCTATGCTATGGTTACCAGACTGCCGATAAACATACCTATATACATATATTCCAAAATACATACATATTATAGATAAAGTTTAAATAAAACAACACGTAGTACATCAATTTCATCGCCAAATTTATCAATCTCTATAATTGTATGAACGTCTGACACTGCCTTATTTTTGTTCCAGATCCTGCTTCTTACGACTGTAATCGTTATTTTATCAGCTAATACAGTCGACGCTAAGAAGAATAAAAAGTTTACTCAACACAACATATCAAAGGAACCTAATCATAAACATACTGAAAACAATCACAAGAAGCTTAAAAGAAGTGCTCACGGCAAGAGTTGGGGCAGCAAACAGAGTTACGGGTCTTACGATCTGCCCCCTTACTTGGTATATAACAAAAAGTTAGGAGCTTACTACCCGTACTTCAAGTACCCAGAAAATAATTTGAGAAGATACTTCAAGAATAAACACTACAGCACTACTAATAATAATTACAATACTCTCCCGCGAAATGTTGTAAATCGAAACGTAAAATGATACTAGGTTTTCTGTGTGTGTGTTTATTTCACATCAACTCGCTTTTGACGGCAAGTTGCGATTGGTGAAGATCTCATTGCAGGCCAATCACAACGCAGAACGCGGTCACCAAGACAATCAAGATGTGAAATAAATTCATATTAAGCTTTCAAAATGTGAAATAAATTCATATTTCATCCAAACAGTCAACACCGTCAATAATATGTTTAAATAGTTGAATGATTCCGCCAGCCATCTGTTTCCGTTGCTCGTTATTTGTTTTATAAAAAATTATAAAACGTAACAGCTTTTTGAATAAATTATTTTAATTTTATTGATATATTTTTAAATGATTGATATTACTTTTGTAAATATTAAATAAGCAGTTGTAAAAAGTGTTATTTTATTATAAATATTACAAATGTCGAATATATACCATAAAAGTACATCGCGGATGTAGCTACACATGCTAAAATCAAATGTAAAAGTGGTTTAGCCTACCTACTTACCTATTCATTTTTTCTCAATTGCTATGAATTTAGGAAACGAACAACCCATTTAATGTATTGTTTCTTAAAGAGATATTTGTTTTTTGGACACTTCAAATGGAGTTGAAGTGGAAGGGGGTCTTTTCAGTTTCCTGTCTAATGTATTTTTCGTATTGTCGATCCGACACTGTGCTCGAAGAGAGGGACCACGCCGTGGGAGTAGTAAGAAACGTGCTAACTCGCACACTTTGTTTTCTTTCTCGCCCAGGTAATTTTTGACCTAAAGTCTTACTACGTCTTTGTCCTATAATAGGCCATCATGCAGAAGAGAGAGTGAAAAGAGAAGAATTAAATAACAGTCACATCTCCTATTTTTTTAGTTATATATATAGGGGAGAGTAACCAATATTGAACCGACGCTTAAATTGGACCACTTCTGCATTTCAATCAAAATAACACAATTTTTTTACACTGGCAACACAAAAAGGAGCTAGCAGGTGCTAGCAGCTCCGCCATTTTGTAGAGCTTCTTTTTGTGCCAATGTACTGTACCAAATAGTAATATAGTAGTAATATAGTATATAGTAATTTATATGTAATAAAAGACCGTTGCAGTATATTTAAACTTTTCTTTGTTTTACGTAAACATACAAACTCGTGCTTATGATGTTGTCTACATACTAATCGACTAGGAAAACCAGTTTTTTTTTTAATAAAATAAAATTTACCTTAACCATGTTACAGGTTTTTATACATTCTGGGTATTACATTAAAAAAAATCGTGCATTAGATCACTAAAATTGTATTGAAGATTATCTGTAGTACCTTATAAACATTAGGATGCCATATGCTCTCACAAATGTTAAGAATGGTGTCACTAGTAACAATAGTTTAAGAGCTTCTTTTGGGATGGATACAGGGGGCAATAAACAGACGTGTCACCTGTTTGTATGTGACTAAGGCAGACTATGGAGGGAAGAGACTAGGGAGGGTAGAGGCAAGAAGAACCATCTCTGTGTAGGAAAAGTGTCCGTAAAAACGCGTCCAATAAGGGTGGCGCTGCGGTAGCCTAGGATTAAGTTTAAAGAAAGCGCCAAAAGTAATTAGTCATAGTTTTTTACCTCTATTTTCAGTATACAGCTAGACACTTCTTCAACTTGTCCCCCATATGAGATGGTTCTCCTTGCCTTTACAGTCCATAGCTGCCACCTATAAGACACCTTTAACTTAAAAGTCACAAGTGTGCTGCTGGTATCTGAAGTGGGTTGAAGGTTTTATCGGTCCAGAAATACTGCAGACGTCAATTTCTTACACAGATCAGATGTGTGTAAAAGCGTGCAGCTGTGGAGTGCCTGTTATGCGAGTGATGAGATCGAGATTTTTGTCGTGTCAAATGATGATGGTTAATCAGAGTACTACATAAACTACAAGTAGTAGAGGCGTCATAGGCGTCGTTGCGATCTAAAATATCCTGGCAATCGATGTTTTGAGTCGCTCTCCGTGGATTGCGCACCAGAGGGAGAACCCGGTACTCGGTGCTTCAGCCAACGGTCGAACAATGACCTTAACAAGTTGTAGGCCGAAGTGAAATACCATCTCGATGTTTTAAATATTCCAAACTTCTTCGAGGCTAAGTCGTCCTTACCCTCTATGTGTCCGATATGTCGACGCCCGACGGTGAATAATGTAATTGAAAATACTAAAAAATTCATATGAGCAATTAAAGATATGATAAACAATAATTTAAGTTTTCTCTTAATACTGTGTTAAAATTCTGAGTTCAATAATGTTCTTGGGTTTTTAGTGACATAGTAGTAGTAAAATAAATAATTTAATGTTTATTTTTTCGTGTTTTATTCGTTACTGTCTCAGTAATGTTTTCATAAAGAAAATGTACACAAACGTTACATGGAACAGCCATGCAACGGTAATGCTATTGTTCATAATACGTTCAAAATTTCACTACAAAAAATGATATTGTAATCCGTGTAACGTGCAAAAACATAAGATTCCTTTCATTAAGAAAAAGTACTGTTGTGTAAGGTTAGGTAATAATTTCTTAATATAAAATGTCTCTTTGGGATATTATGTTGGTATTTATTTAAATACTAACATAATATTTTACAGCCAATGCCGTCACTTGAGTCATCGACTTCCCTGATTAATCGATTATAGTTGACTTGGGAGTTATATTTTTAACATGGCAACATTGACAGGGGAAGTGGATGACAATAGTGGGGATTGGAAGGGAGAGAAATAAAATGGAATGGAGAACGGCAGTCGAGTTGGGACGGTCAAAGTGGTAAGTCGTTCTTGCTTATAATTAAGAGTGAATTGTATAGGGTGAAAGTGTCATTGTATATTACATATAAACCGGAAATACAATACCGGTGTTATTACTTTATATCCTTGTCAATTATCATATAAATACATATTCAGGAGGCTTTATATTACATCTCAGAAGTGGGATCGGTAGCTCACTTTTAGAAAAATGGATAAGGAGGGTGAACGGATATTAAAAACACCATCACGTAGTCGTATGCGAAGTCGAGAAGTGGACCCTATTCGGGCTTACACTCGCACTCGCAGTCGCAGTCGTCACCGACGGGGCTGTGTTAGTGAGCTGGACAGAGATCGAGAACGGGTCCACAGGCTAGAACAAGAGCTACAACAAGAGCGGGAGAGTTTGAGAGAACGCGAAAGGAGCTCCCGGCAAATATCGACGGAAAGACCGCTGGCGGTGTCACCACAAATAAGCGATACGGCCTCGGCAGCGCATCGAGCGGACGAAAGGCCCGAGAATGGACATCGCACTTCACTAAATAGGTCACGTAGCCCTTCTTTTACTGCTAACGATGTTATTAAAATATTACAATCTATAAAACGGGGGTCTGCATCTGAACTATTACCGCAGGATACTCCTAAAATTAATAAAAGCATAGTTCATAAGAATATCTTACCCAATTTTGATCCTGCCGGTAAAAACCAGCGAATGGACATTTGGCTAAAAAAGGTACATGAATGCGCTGCGGTATACGGGTGGGATGAAAGGACCACCATTCATTTCTCGCTTCAGAAACTACAAGGATTGGCCAAGACGTGGTTTCAAAGTTTAGATACGATTTTGTTTACTTGGCCAGAGTGGCAAGAAAAATTAATTAACGCGTTTCCTCACGAGCATAACTATGGCCAATGCTTGGAAGATATGTTGAAACGAAAAACCAAATTCGGTGAACCTATTGAAACTTATTATTATGAGAAATTAGCACTATTGAACCTGTGTAACATTTCTGGTAAAAACGCTGTCGATTGCATCATACATGGAATCAGTGATAGAACAATGAAATCTAGTGCCTTGGCATTGCGCTGTTCGCACCCAGAGCAGCTCTTACAATTCTTAATGAGCAATAGAGATGCGATAGGTCAATATCAATCCCTTCATATAAGACATAGGAACATGACAGATAGCATTAACAATTCAAATTTTGCGCCTAACCCAAAGAAAAAGCCAACTCAAGGAATTTACTGCTTTAATTGTAAAGAACGAGGACATCCATACTTACAATGTCCAAAGCCATTACTAAAATGTAGTAAGTGTAATAGGATAGGCCAAAAACCAGAAGACTGCTTCAAAAGGACTGGGGTGACTTCTAACTCCTCTGAAAATGTTCGTAAAGCTATGTGTATCACAGGTTCCAGCCCCAATGCGAAATTCACAAAAGTAGTGCACATTGATGGTACCATCTTGGAATCGTTTGTGGATTTTGGGAGCGAGGTAACCCCTATTAAAAGGTCAATAGCAGACAAAATAAGAAGCACCCATGACAATGTACCAACCGTTATGAAAGGTTTTGGTAACGAGTTGGTGCATTCGCCTGGGAGCATAGTGCTTAATTTAAAGATCGATGATGTTAGTGCTGATGTCATGTGTAGAGTGGTAGATGATCAATTCTTGGACAAACCTCTGTTGATCGGTCAGTCGTACACAGAACAACCACACATTATAGTAATTAAGGATTCTACTAGCCTTAGATTTCTTGACGTTGGTACTGAGCTACCCCAGTTGGACCCAGATGGGGGCCACGATCAATGCCTCAAGGGTATAGTCGCCGGTCACGTTACGCTATCGGGGACTGCTAGCGTGAAGGTGTGCACGGAATCAACGTACGATGGTGACGTTTTGGTAAATAATAAATGGGTTGGTATTTCAAATAATCAGTTCCTGGTTGGTGGAGGCGTACACCCAGTACGGCATGGCCAGCTGTTTGTGACAATCACGCCGAATACCATACCCTGTTTTCTGCGAGGAAATGACGTCATCTGTAGGGTCGAAAAGGTTAAGGTTGTGAGTACCGTGACCACTGTGACCTCTGAGCCAGTTTCAGATCATGGCGGCAAGATTGTCCCTGCAGACAGAACTATTGATCTGAGCCAAGTTCGACTCGGACAAGACGTACCTGAGGAAGTGAAGCGCCAATTGTTTGATTTGTTGCAACGTTATAAGCACTGTTTTGCGTCATCCTTGCGTGAACTGGGTTGTAGTCATGCTACGGACATGAACATTGAGCTCAATAGTCAAAAACCTGTAGTTTATCGACCCTATAGACTTTCTCACTTTGAAAGAGATAAAGTACGTGGCATGGTTAACGAAATGCTAGAAACCGGGATCATCAGGGAGTCGGTGTCAGAATATGCTGGCCCCATTATTCTAGTGCGCAAAAAGGACGGCAATACTAGAATGTGCGTCGACTACAGAATGCTCAACTCTATTACCTTGAAGGAGAGATACCCTATGCCAGTCATAGAGGATGAAATTGCACGGCTATCAGGCCAGGCATGGTTCATTACTCTAGACCTCATGTCTGGATATTATCAAGTACCTATTGCCGAGAGTAGCAAACGCTACACTGCGTTCGTCACACCCGATGGGCAATACGAGTTTAATCGTATGCCATTTGGGTTGGCAAATGCACCAGCAGCATTTCAACGTATGATGAACGGCATCCTTGGGTCGGCGCGTTATAGTATAGCTACCGTGTATATTGACGGTTTGTTGGTTTACGGTGAAACCGCAATGCAATGTTTGAATAGATTGGAGGACATTATGAGAATGATCGAAGACGCCAACTTAACACTCAATTTGTTAAAGTGTAGTTTCCTTCAAAATAAGATCGACTATCTCGGTTACGAAGTTAGTGCTACTGGCGTAAAGCCGGGCGCGTCCAAGGTAGATAGCGTCAAGGACTTTCCGCGTCCGGAAAATGTACATGGCGTGCGACAATTTTTGGGCTTGGTGAGCTATTTCAGAAAGGGTTTGCGATGATTGCACATCCCTTGAATAAATTACTAAGGAAGGACGCTGCTTGGGAATGGTCAGATGCTCAGGAAACTGCTTTCCTGGCCTTGAAAAAGAGTCTAATTAATAGGCCGATTTTGGCCATATTCAACCAGAATACAGAACTGGAGCTCCACACGGATGCTAGTAAAGTAGGAGTAGGGAGTATGTTGTTGCAACGTGTTCAAGGTAGCAATGATTTAAAGCCTGTTGCATATTATAGCCGACAGACTTCCCCCGAAGAAAAGATCTTTCATTCGTATGTACTCGAGACTCTAGCGGTTATATGCTCCCTTAAGAAATTCAGGGTCTATTTATTAGGGAAGACATTTAAAATTGTGACGGATTGCAGTGCATTACGCTCTACGTTTCAAAAACGGGATTTGATTCCGCGGATAGCTCGTTGGTGGTTACTATTACAGGAGTTTGATTGCAGCATAGAATATCGGGCTGGAGCCAAAATGGCCCACGTTGATGCATTATCGCGCAATCCTGTAGCCGTCGAATGCAGTCAAATCCTTGAGCAGGCACCAATGATCATGGCTATTAGTGACGAAGACTGGTTATTGACGCTGCAACTACGAGACACAGAGTTAAAACGGATCAAAGATATACTTTCAAATAACATAGACGAAAAGGAACTTCAATATATTAAGGAGAGTTTTGTCATCCGTGATAACAAGCTATTTCGGTATGTAGATGAAGATAAAGAACAGGTTCGTTGGGTAGTACCAAAGGGCGCTCGTTGGCAACTGTGTAAAATGAGTCATGATGACATGGGTCACTTAGGATTACAAAAGACGTTAGATCGAATAAAGCGTACTTATTGGTTTCCAAAAATGAATCGTTTTGTGAAGAAATATGTTGGGGCGTGTATTGAGTGTGCCTATGCGAAGAAATCCTCGAATACACGAGAAGGACTATTACACCCTATACCCAAAGCTAATGTACCCTTCCACACCCTCCACATTGATCACGTTGGACCCTTCGTTAGATCTAAACGAGGACACACGCATATTTTGGTGATAGTGGACTCTTTTACAAAATTCGTCTTTATCAAATCTGTAAGAAACACGAAGGTGCAGAGCGTGATCAATGTTCTGGAAGATGTCTTCTATACGTTCCGTAACCCTGATAGGCTAATTAGTGATCGCGGTAGTTGTTTCACATCCCATGCTTTCAAAAGATTTTGTCTCGGTAAGGGCATAAAACACGTATTAAATGCTGTAGCTAGTCCACGAGCTAATGGTCAAGTAGAGAGGTACAACCGCACGATATTAGATTCACTAACAGCACAGAACTTAAAGGACGATGAAAGAGAATGGGATAACAAGCTGGGTAAAATTCAATGGGGTCTGAATAATACAGTACAAAAAACTATTGGCCGTACACCTTCGGAGGTAATGTTTGGTATGAAAATGAACAGTGAACTAAACCCAGCGTTAAATGAAATCGTAACACCGCCTGTTGAAACTATGGATCTAGATTCATTACGTAACGAAGTTAAGGATCGGATAGACGTAGAACAGGGAAAACAAAAACACTATTATGATAGAGGTAGGAAACCGTCACGCAATTATAACAAGGGTGAGCTGGTGAAAATATTAAAGTCATCCTTTAATAACGAAGGCAGAAGTACAAAACTTATGTCGACGTATGAAGGTCCTTTTAAGATCGTAAAGGTATTAGGGAACGACCGTTATAAGGTAGCCCCTATCCCCGGTTTTAAAAGTACGAAGAGTAAACGCCAAACAACTGTGGCTGCAGATCGTATACAGCCTTGGATACATATTGCGTCTCTTGAGGTTAATAATGACTGCAACTCTGATCGTAGCGTAACCGACAGCGAATGAGTTAATGAAGTATATGAAGATAATGAATCATGCAAAAGCCCTTGAGAATTGATTGGTTCAAGGCAACAAAAAGAAAAAAATTGAAGTGGATAAGGAGCGAGAATTGATTGGTTCGCACCTTTTTTCACATTAGATAATGAATGTGTAAGTCCTTGAGAATTGATTGGTTCAAGGCATCAAAGGTAGGTATATGCCATAACTGAGAATTGATTGGTTCAGTAATGGTATAGCGTCAGTAACCTCCAAGAATTGATTGGTTTGGGGGTATTGATTGCTTTGATACAAGATAAAAAGCGGTGTGATTCTGGACTGGGCAAAGCCGGGGCTGTGTTGACCTGTTTGCTGGTGGACGTACTTCAGTGTTTGTTGGTACCTATAAATTATAAATTAATTGCATCCGGACGTGCCCGTCACACAATATTTGTATATAGAAGTTAAACATGTAGACTACTTCAATAACAAATCTTCTGTTGATTACTAATGATTTTTGATCTGTTAATAGTTTAGAGAAAATAGTGTAATAGAAAATTAGTGTAGTCGTCATAAATATTAAAATGTAAAACAGCACTAGAAGCATAAAATTACTTTAGAAACCGTCATGTTAGCCTCACTTACCTCATTCGTATCGTTCAAAATTGAAACTAAGAAAAACCTCACTCAATCAACTTATTATTATGCACTTAATCACACGCACGAATCTATCCACACAATGTCAAACACAAGAACTTATTGATTGTTACACAGATATTTAATATGACATAAGAATATTAAATAATAATTAATTACAATATTTTGTGTTAGATGCCTAGACACTTACCTTATCTTTAGTTTGTCCTTCTCGTCCAATGCTCGAGCAAAAGTAACTGTTTTAGGCCAAACGAAACTAACTAATATACATATATCAATGACGGTAGGAAAAGTTGCTATGCCGGATGTCGTTGTTTTTGTAGAAATTGTACCAAACAATTAAATGTGTTACGCTTTATGTTATAACATGATAAATGTTTAATTTAATAATGAAAATTATTAGTTTTAGTTAGTTTAAAGCGGATGTTTACAATTTAGAATTACAAACATATAATTGCACTTATAACTCTTAAAATTAAAAGAGCCTTTTCATCTCAAAATAAAGATGTTCATTGATAGCTATTGACATTTTATGATTCTATGATAATTAATCCTATTGTAAATAATTACTAATGTTTTATTTAGATACTCAAAACTGTAATGAAAATTTCGTCCTAATATGTATATTATTATACCTGGTATAATAGCAATCAATAGTAGTTAGGATAAGTAATATTTAAAATAGGGATATTATAGGTATTTTTATATATTCGCTGTTTTGTTAGAAACTATTACATTATGATGTATTTCTACAACCAGGCCTAATGTAAGGTTAAGTTATCACTTGATTCGTGTATGAGGACACTACACGTTGTCAGGAAGGACGAATGTAAGGTTAGGTAATAATTTCTTAATATAGAATGTCTCTTTGGGATATTATGTTGGTATTTATTTAAATACTAACATAATATTTTACAGCCAATGCCGTCACTTGAGTCCTCGACTTCCCTGATTAATCGATTATAGTTGACTTGGGAGTTATATTTTTAACATGGCAACATTGACAGGGAAAGTGGATGACAATAGTGGGTATTGGAAGGGAGAGAAATAAAATGGAATGGAGAACGGCAGTCGAGTTGGGACGGTCAAAGTGGTAAGTCGTTCTTGCTTATAATTAAGAGTGAATTGTATAGGGTGAAAGTGTCATTGTATATTACATATAAACCGGAAATACAATACCGGTGTTATTACTTTATATCCTTGTCAATTATCATATAAATACATATTCAGGAGGCTTTATATTACAGTTGTTACTTAGGATGGAAAATTTACTATTACGAAAAACCTAGTACATAATAAGAGTAAGGTCCTTTAAGTAACTTTAAATAAGGAGGTATCTATGCTCAGAAAAGCAACCTGTTAGGTCACAAATTTGTTACGTATGTATAATGTTACGTAGGTACATAAAGAAGCATGCCATGAGCAGTTGCACTTTTGGTCTCTTATTTACTCCTACAAGTAGGTTTGCGGGTATAACAATAATTATGTAAGTGATTATGGTACTAAGTTAAGGTACAATAATTCTGATATTATACATCCATTTACTATATATTTGTAAAGTCCCTTGCAATACACGGAAACATGCAATGCGGGAAAAGTTTATTTTTGCGAAGAACAAAAAATAAAACGTGAGACATTTTAGTTGTATGATTCAGCAATTTGAGAGTTTTTTTACTTATACCACATGTTTCTGAATTCACATACTATCCCAGTAACTTCGTATTGTATATATTTATGTATTAAATATGTTGTTAATATTATAGTGTTTATATTATTTAAACTCAAATATTTTAACGAGTATTTCTTGTTCACTTTTAAACGTCAGTACTATACAAATAAAAACATATTTAGGAAAACAGAGACAAGAGGACCCTGATAATTAAGTGAAAATTCAACAAGATATCACTGTCTAAAGACTACCGAGCGATCTGTAGAATATAAGTAACTCCCCTCCCCCTAATTCTGGGAAAGGAGGCCTCAGTAGACGTCAAAACACTTATGAATTGTGAGCTTTATACAATAAAAATCTACAATAACTATAAATATAATTACTTTCCAGTGCCTAACCCGCTAAGACCGGACTCAGTATCATCCTCTCCACCTCTATCAGCACCCAGCTCGCTGGGGTTGGCTGTGAGTCAAATGTGGGCTGGTTGTGAGTCAAATATCCGCAGACATTTATTATATAACTCTATTTTGAGGCAATGCAGATTATTAACGCGACCCACCAGGAAAGACTAATAGGCTAATAATAGGTTAAAAAAACTGCTAGGTAATGAAGAATCCACAAAAACCCGATTGGGTCGATGGAAACTTCATCAGCGAAGACGCTTCCAAACCATGATTAACGTATTTGTCTATGGGCTCTGCGGGCTAACAAAAATCATTATTTTATTCGTTAATTTAAAATTTGCTATATACTTAAACAATATTAATTAGTAATTTAGATAATATAATTGAAAACAAAGAAGACTTGAAATTTCAAAGTCTTTTAAACACTCCTCACACTACCACACTTAAAGTTAAATAACAAACTAACCAATTGTGTACCTGTGCCACCCCTAAATTTAGGTGAGTTAGTAGATACAGTACATCAGAAACCTTACTAAACTGGTTTCATTATAAACAAGGATAACTATCTTATTGTGGTCATGAGTTGGTTTGTCCTTTCTTCTCATAAGGCTGAACCCCTTGGAAACGGGCGGTTGTAGATCGGCACAGGCATATCATAGATTTTCTAAAAGTATAATTTTTATTAAATTTATTTTCCTAACTATTTGATTTTGATTTGAAAACAGAGATTGTTGCTATTGTGTATCTGTTGATCTACGACTTTAGTCTACATAAAAAACGATTTCAATCAATTTTAAAGATATTTTGATTTTGAATTTGAATGATGAAAGACCGGTATTCTGTCACAATCACTTTTGTATTATTTGCTTTTGTTACACCATAGTTATCTAGTGGTTTGGTTCTATTTTATTACATTCAAAAGTAGTTTAAAATGAAATCCGATCATGAACATCATAGCTGACTCGTGCGATGCGTGAAGCATCATCAGAAAAGATTACAACATTTTATGGAAAACAAATGCAATGCAAAATACTAGTTTTGTTTGATTTCAAAGAAAAGATCCTGTATCTACGTATATTAACTGTTTCATTTTGTTTTTACATTTCATAGCCAGTACAATTTAAATTGGGATTATCCTAAAATTACTAGATTTTTACACATCGACACACACTACAATACCATTCAAAGTACTTTCGTTTGTATATTAACTTGAATAGTGCAGATATATATAGATGCAAGCGTTATTGTGTACAATATTTTTTAATTATTTTTTCTTAGTTTTGTGTTTATGACATTCTACAAAGAATAAATGTACTTTTTGCCAATGCATCAAATCACTACGGGGAAGAGGGCTCTCTCCCTTTAATTTATAAGTTTATCCGTTTTTTATATTATCCGTGTGGTGACGGATTAAGAATACGGAGTGTCACCTCCCCTATTCATCCCGTGGGCGTCGTAAGAGCCGACTGAGGGAATAAACAGCGCAGGACAACAGCACTGCAAAGAGAAGGAAAACTTGAAACATATCCTATACCAACCCGTCTGGCCAGCGTGGTATAGTAGGCCAAAACCTCCTTTCTAAGGTGAGGCCTATGTCCAGCAGTGGACTAGTAGAGGCTGTTGATGATGACATCTAATGTAAAAACTGGCCTTGAGATTGTGTATGATATATCATGCATAAATAAAAGTATAAGGCTTGTGGATGAAACGTAATCTTAACAATTTGTTTTGGCTATTAAGAGTATTTAATGCGTAAGAGATTTTGTTTGTTTGTTACCTTTACAAGCCTTAACTGCTATATAAGCGTCTATTATCAGTAAATTCTGTATACACATTATTCAGAATACGGACAAAGACAGGGTAAATAAGGTTCTTTTCCCGACACCCGAATTAATTGGCAAAAAGTAACCTTGTTTAAATGAAGGCACACCAACAAAAACTAATGGGTTTGTCATTTTTAGGAAATTATTGAAAAGACATAATTGACACAATCTTGCAACGAAAACATGGTCACAAGAATAATAGGATCAAGCGCAGGTATAAACCCTACCCAAGTATATAAACGTACTGACTGAGTGATCAAGGACTAGTATTTGAGGAAACGCCAGCGGATACTGTGATATATAAAGTTTTAAAACAAGATGAGCAGGTTTATTGTGAGTATTTTAATATGTTATTATAAGATGTAATCTTCGGTCATAACAAGTTGAGGCAGTAGTTTATTTTGTAGTGAATTGTGAATTTCATCTGAAGTAAATACCTGCTAATAAGTGGATATTATAATGCCATGGATTTGTCTTCGAAATTACAGTGTATTCTTATTATAAAATGGTCTTAGTTATCTGTTATTATTGGAAATGTATTCTATGACAAAGAGATATAGATACGAAGTGTTACCAAAGTGTTAAACCAACTGTTAGTAGAAGTACCAAGCGTTAGTAGAAGTTGGATAGTTTTAAAATGTATTATGTTGAACTAATATAGATATGACAATTTGAACATTACTTACATTAAAGCGACGGTTATAAACCTAAGATGTTGAAATAATGTGAGGATCTTTCGGTACAAACTTAAAATAATGAGAAATAGAGCATTTTTTATTTATTTAAATGATTAATTTTGAATTCGGCGCTCGAAAATACGTACTTCGAAGGTTATACATAAGAAAGCTTTTTTACGGCGCTACTAAAAATGATTTAGTATTTTTTTGTTAGTTTATTGAGTCGGCTTCGCCTTTACATGGAATAAATAAAAGGGTAAAAAACACGCAAAGGTTGACACACCAGCATAATTTTATTTGCTCAACTTAGTTCTCCAAAAATATATATTTTATACTGTCTATCAGGATACGTATTAAAAAAATATATAGGGTTTATTTAGAGAACCAAAAATATGACAACTTTCATGTAAAATATTTATTATAAAAACTTATAAATGTGAGCTTTAAATAAAAACTTCGTGAATTATAGTTAAATGTTAGTCAATATAATTGCCTGTACGTCATAACTTGGCATTTTAAATACAATTAAATTGAATTAAATTAACCCGTCCCTGATCGCTCTCGATGTAAAAGTGCCCATCACACTTGCTGCACTGCAATGGAAAACCTTTGCATCAGGAACGAACTAGAGCGGAAGTCACTATTGACTTCTGTGAGTCTTCAGCCTAGTTCCTTTATGAAAAAAATTGTGTCTGTGTGTGGTCTGGATCTACCTAATACACATTAAAAGGCTACGTGTAAAATTCATTGTTCTTTTAGTAAAAGTAAATATATATTTACTCGTATTTAGATTTATGTTTTAGTCACGCCTTAAGAGCTTTTATGCTTTTATAGCTGTTTTTTTTCTTTGTTTTAGCGTTTCTAACCTTCTAGAGTTTGTTGTGTGTCTTGATTTCTTCATAGACAATAACAAAAAATTGTAACATGTTTTAAGAAAATAATACCGAGAAGAAATATATTTACAAACGAATCGAATATAGATTTCTGAAGTTGATAAAAAACATGCTTTTAATAGCAAACCCAACTATAAAGTATAAAACATGAGTGCTTAACAAATGTTGTTAGCCAATTGCATAGCAAACACTCTAGGCTTTTTACCATAAAACTATACTCTACTAACAACAAGTAGCTTGGATTCTACAAACCAATTAATCAAGTAATGCCGTACGCCTTTTTGTCATCCTTACAGTACCTCCACTTTAGAAATATCTTTTTAGTCTTTTTACACCTGAAACTCATATTTTTTCGGAGCCCAGGGGATCCACAACTTCATATCTAAGTTCATAAGTGTGTATAGTATACTTAAATTATGCACTTTGTATACAACCAGTTACAGTAAGGTGTTATACATTATTACTGTCTTTGTCTTTTGCCAAATCAAAACGACTGAAAGAACTCAAGGATATCATTTAGAGCAACACTTTTCTTGCATGCAGCAAGAGTAAATGTGCCAAGCGCATGACCTGTAAACATATTATATAATAATATGATATCGCCGATCGCATCTGGCCTATATTTTTATCGAACACACTATCGTCTGATATGTGGTCAAGCCACGGTTTTACTGCGTCATGTCTTACGTCATGCTTATGATACGATGCCGAGGACAATTTTACTTCATTAAGATAATATAAATCTATATAATCATCCTCTCTGACTAACCCTATCGTACTTTCTGTCGCAGTCTTTAGGTACTCTCGTGAGGTCTGGCGTCTGGAGTCTAAGTCTTTTAAGACAGTCTTACGCTTTATATCTCTCACAAATTCTCTGATATCTTAAGCAAGCGTTTTCCATGAGTATTTTGAAATTGAACGTTTGCCGTTGAAACTCTCTGAAAGCTCCCTAATAGTCTTTATCAGTGAACGTCTCAAACCAGCACGTAAAAGCTGTTAATATTCTTCTCATACCTCGAGTTTCCAACGTTGTGTTTTTTCTTTTCTGCTTTGCTTGATTGCTGGTGGATTTAGCGATTCACACCCAGTTCTGATTGCTTCTGCTCTTCAAAGTAATTAAATTTTAGTTTTAGTCATTTTAGTTTATGGTACTTATTTCCTCTATTACCTAAGACTAAAACTACACCAGGTGCTCGTGTTTATATAAAGGCCCAAATATATATAAACAGCTAATAAAATGAACGCACCTCACGTTTTCCACCAAATGTTTTCGATAAACTATTCCGGGTTTTTTTTTACTTTAAAAGAGTGTAAAGAAACAATTCAAGGGCCTATTACAAGTGTCTGTAGACAGATTCGTTATCCTACAGATGCTTGCAGAGTTAACATCCTTGTAAAAGATTTTAATGACCTGTTTGAAGATCCTATAATATTGTGTCTGGGGAAAACCGTAGAGGGAAAGAATTTCTACATTCCCAAGCGATGAAGGCAATTACTTTAGAACCGGTTAATGTCTTCTCAGATGTCTGATTTACTTGTTGGAAGAGTTACCTTACACGTTATCCTACAGATGCTTGCAGAGTTAACATCCTTGTAAAAGATTTTAATGACCTGTTTGAAGATCCTATAATATTGTGTCTGGGGAAAACCGTAGAGGGAAAGAATTTCTACATTCCCAAGCGATGAAGGCAATTACTTTAGAACCGGTTAATGTCTTCTCAGATGTCTGATTTACTTGTTGGAAGAGTTACCTTACACTAGTAAATCACATAATATATCGTATGTAGACACGAAAACTACCCAAAAGCTATATTTATTAGACGCCAATCTTGTCAACATGTTTATAATTCTGATTCACTTCACATGTGGTTAGGTAAATATTTTACTTAGGTGGTATTTTTTTTATATGCAAAGTAGTTATATACGATGAGGAAAACCGAAAATCCAGTTAAGTAGCATTGTGTTATAGAGTTTTTTTGGATGTATTTTTGTTTAAAAGTGGTCATAATAAAAATAAGGTACGATTAACACAGATAAGTTTAAAAATTAGCGCAGATATGTCTTTGCTAAGACAAAGAGTAGGTAATTTATTTTTCATGCTTTATGCAATACTAATTTGGGTTTAGGTATACTAAATGATGAAGTATGTTTTTAAGAAAACAGAAAAAATCGGTAACAAAATATGCTTCGAGAAATTACTAAAATACACAAATGCCGAAATCGTAATTCGATTTGTTATGTTATGGTCGATAGTTCAAAGTCATTTAATCAGGCAGTCACGTCAGTATTATAGCAACATTGTCCTATTAATTCACAACTTCCAGGTTTGACTGCAAAATTACTGTTTTGATCTCGATGTATTGATTTGATACAGCTCAAGCTCACTATATAAACTCACTATATTAAAATTATCTTATTAATATGTTTACACTTTGAAAGAATAAATAAAAAAAAACAAGTTAATAGATAAGAATAACAACAAATCAGAAATATCAATACTTTTTAATAATTGCCTTTGTCTTTCAAATAATACTCGTACGTGCTCATTAAACATAATTAGATTGGCCTGTAATCCTACTTTGTTTTACCAGTCAGTAATTAGTAATATACTTAAGAAATAAGATAAAAATACATAAGTGTTCGGTTTACTATATAATTATGTAACTGTTTTTTGTTTTTATATTGATGTTGTGTATTTAATTGTTACAGATTGCCACATTGGCGATAGTGGCTGTAATAGTGTCACCAGGTAAATTAGCTATTGGAACTTAAAAATTGCTTTAAAATAAATATTAAAAATTGAATCGGGTTTTTCGAGATGTTTCAACAACAACGAGTAATAACAATGTCCTTAACGAGATTCCACCTCAGACTTTTCTTTATACAATAACGCTTAAAATTAGGACTTTTGACTGTACTATTTTTGGCTTGAACAACAAATTCTGTATCCATTTAATGCGGTGTTCGCAGTCCAGTCGCCTGAAGAAAAATATTCAAATTAAATGATCCGGCAACTGGGCCCCCGGTTCTAGTTAATTGCGGTCCCAATCGCCGGAACCCTCATAATGCATCGCCTCTATATAGTATAATAATAGTAATGAAATAACACTGATATCCTTCTACCTACTACTTCGCTATGTGCACTTTATTGAAGTAATTTAATTCTTTTTATTTTAGTTTTCAGCTATGGTGGCTATGGTGGGTACGGTGGCGGTCATGGAGGCTATGGAGGTCATGGTGGCTACGAAGGCAACGGTGGATATGGAAGCCACGGAGGATACGGAAGTCACGGAGGCCACGGTGGCTATGGACACCATGGCCACGGCTATCATGGTCGCCACGACTATAGCGGAGAAGATGATGAGTATGATGAGGACGAACCACCTGTCATAAACTTTGGATTTAAAAACAAAGAAAAACATGAAGAAACCTATGACCATAAGCCTATAAAACACGAACATAAGGAGGAGAAACCATCTCTGCTACTAATTCAACAACAGGAAGGGTCTGGTTCGGGTAGCATACTAGAATCGCAGAGCACAAACTCGTTCGGTAGCGGTCACACCCAAGGAAGCCTTAACAGTGGCGAAAACATAAAACAAGGTGCAGCTGAGATTAGTATTAGTCAAAATGCACAAGGAAAAGCTGAGATCGGAACCTCAAACAGTCATAGTGGATTTGGTGACGATCAGAGCAAAGAAAGTTTTGAAAATCATGGTATTCACAAAAACGAGCACGGCGACAAAGAGGATGAACACGGACCTAGTCATGGACATAAACAAGAAGATAGTCGTGAAGAAAAGTATGTACAGAAGCAGGAGAAACAAGAACAATACGAAACTAGCCAGCTTGAAGCAATCTTTAACGAATCGGAGCAAAATACAGGATCGTTTGGTAACCTACAAACTGCAACAGGGAGTGGCAATTTTGGATCCTCTAATAATCAGAGTGGATACAGTGATGGCGTAGGCCAAGTAGGTATTGACAGTCATGGCCAAGAACATAAACGCGAAGAAAAACATGAAGAACATAACGAAAAGCAGCACGAGAAATATGAACAGCAGAAAGCTCAACAAAATAAAAATATTAGCGAACAAAACAGTCAACTTGCAACTCTTGCAATCTTTGGGCAACAAGGAAGTGTTCAAGAAGACATAAACGACTTTGACAGTAGTAAAACTACAACAGACAGCGGTCAAATTGGATCCTCGAGTTATCAGAGTGGATTCGGCCCAAGCCAAGTAAGTTTTGACAATCACAGCAACAACACGCATAAAGCGGGCTACAATGGAGGCGGTCAAGATTATAAATACGAAGAAAAACATGAAAATTCAGATGAGAAAAAGTACGAAAAGAAACCTGAGAAACAAAACCAGCAAGAGGGTCAACAACAGGAAAGTGTCAGCCAACAAGATAGCAAACTTGTAGCTATTTTTGGCCAACAAGGAGCTTTAAGTACTCAGAATGATGCAAACGAATTTGGTAATACGCAAATTACCACAGGAAGCGGCCAAATTGAATCTTCAAGCAGTAGTGGATTTGGTAGTGGCAGTCAAAATCACCACACAGATAATGCCGGCTTCGATAAGCGTTATATTCATACCCATGAACATAAACAAGAAGTAAATCTCAAAGGTGAAAAGTATGGTAATAGTCAAATTTCAACAGAAAGCGCCCAAGAAGGCAAAGAAACCGTCAGTGCTGAGCAAGGCGAAGCTGATTTTAGTAATAAACAAAATATAACAGGAAGTGGTAAAACTGATTCCTCAGGCAGTCAAAACAGTTTTGGTATCGGCCTAAGTGAAGTGAGTGACAGTCATGCTTCAAACAGTGAAACCGGACAAAAACATGGCCATGGACATAAGCACGAAGATAAGCATGAACATAAACAGGTAGAAAAGTACGACCAAAACCAAAAGAAACAAGGGCATATAGAAGTTCAAGAACAAGAAAGTATTGGACAAGGGGCTTTTAGTACTGAGCAAGGGGCAACCGGTTTAGGTAGCAGTCAATCTGAGACAGGTGGCGGACAGATCGTATTCTTAGACAGTCATAGTGAAAGTTTTGACGGCGATGAAAATAACGGACATAAAAATGGATATGAATACCACAGTAGTTACGCAAGTCATGGTAATGGATATCCGGGAACTAGCTTTGGTAATAAACAGAAACAGAAGCAGGCAGAAAAGTATGATCAAAAACAGGATCAGAAACAAGAGCAGCAATATATTCAAAAGGAAGATCAAAGCGGGCAGCTCCAAACTAGTTTCGGTCAGCTTCAGGCTGCCATTAATCAACAAGGAGCATCTAGCACTCAAAAAGCAGGGGCAGAAATTGGTAACATTGAAACAGTTTCAGAAGGCGGCGAGATTGGATTTTCAAGCAACCAAGACGGATTTAGTAGCGTTCAAAGCCAAGGTGGTTCTGCGAGTCTTGGCAACATCGAAGAAAAGAAGGGCTATGGTCGTGGACATGGATACCATAGTGGTTACGCAAGTCATGGTTATCCTGGTTTGGCACATGATTATAAATACGAAGAAAAGCAGGAAGAAAGGAATATAGATAAGAAGCAGAAACAAACTCAAAAAAAAGACGAAAGCAGTCAGGTAACCCAACAAGAATCGACTGGATCTGGGCAAGGTGGTACAGAGGTCGGTAACAGTGAAACCTTAATAGGAAGCGGAGAAAAAGGTTCTAGCACTATCCAGAGTGCATTTGACAGCAGCGAACATCAAGAAACGACTCAAAGCCAGAGCAGCCAAGAAGATAGCGACAACTACAAAAAACCTGGGCACTACGGTGGATACGGTGGATATGGTGGACATCGTGGTGGACATGGCGGTCGCTACGGTGGTTATGGTGGCTACCATGGAGGATATGGACGAGGATATTAAGAAATTGATCATAAAAATGTAGATTTATAGTTTGTTATAGATAGATTTATACCAATGTATTGACTATAATGAACTATATAACAATTAGATTTAACATTATGCACTTGTAAAAAGATTTACGTGCAACGGATAACTGACTTGTTTGCCTATCATGGAATATAAAAATAACAATTTGCTCTTAATGTAATGCGAGTAAATTTTTGTAAATTTTACCAAATGCCACTTTTATTACTTATTCAGCAATCTAGAAGTAGGCACGTACGATGCGCCTAAAACCTATTGTCACCTATAATTGTGCTATAACTATTTCTAAGTATGATAGGAATAATAATTATGTAAATAACATAATAAACAATCTTATCACTTTACTATGAAAATACATACCAAGTACGCTAATGAAAAGCAAGAAGTAGAAGTGACCTTTATTTGTAGATTTGATGCAATTTGCTCACGTTGAATAAAACAACCACATAGTATCCAGTTTGACCCAGCATGCCAATATTACGAAGACAAAGTCTAACTTCTTTCGTGCTAGTGTCAGCAGCTGACAGCTACTTATTATATTTTTATAATATATTGCAGACTGAATTTCAACTTAAAATAAGATATTTATAAATTAAATATTTAAAACAGTAGTACAAATGTTTTATTTCTCTCCCGAGGAAACGACTGAGATCATTTTTAGCCTAACCCATTTAAAGGAAGAATCTTTTTTTAAATGTTAAATGGAAAACAATCTCAGAATACCGTATAAAAATAGATAATTTTTTCTCAGACGCAGAACAAAAATTATCTTTATTCTTTATTCATCACAAATAATTGTTACATTGTGTCGGAAGTACTATAAAAATACTTAACTAAATAAAATACAATTTGCTATCAATAATGTCAATAAATTTTTACATCGTTTTTCGATGTCCCAATAAAATTGGAAGAAAGTTAATTAATAATGAAATTTTATTACCTATTTGAATTTTGATATTAGTTTTCTTAATTAAATTAAAATAGGTATATTGTAATATTAAAATCAGATAAATTGTAACTATATTTCATTGTCTTTGGTAACTATAGTCCAAATAATTTAAGAGGTACATTTTGACACAGGCGGTTTAGGGTTGGGTGTCTACACAGCTATAGTGAAAATAATCGATTCAGATCATAAAGGAATTGACGATTTTCAAAACCGTTTTAAAATAGTAATACTTGTGACTATTTATTGGAACGAAGTTCCTTATCGCGCGTTGTGAAAGGGGGCTAGACGGAAAAAATTAGTACGAAAATTTGTCACGACACTTTTTAATATAAATTGACGTCTAACTGTGGACCATACATTAAATTTGCTTTAGCGTTCGCCAACGTCCATACCATGTTGAATACACCGGTTCTCGTCCGATCACCGAAGTTAAGCAACATCGGGCGTGGTTAGTACTTGGATGGGTGACCGCCTGGGAATACCACGTGATGTTGGCTTTTTGCTCTTTATTTTCGTGTCATCTTGTCAGACATTCAGCGCCATCTATCGAATAGATAGGAAATCATTTTGCAAGGTTTTACCAATATATAAATTGTTTTAATTGTTTTTAATATGTAGGTAATAGCCGCTTTCATAGATGACGTTGTAATTAAAATCGTGTCAAATCAGTTTTACTCGATCGTCACAACTTCGTTCCTATCGGGTGTCCCACGACACCACACGGCTTTTTTTTAAGAATTATGTTCCACATACATGTTGTATACCACAAATATAGCTAAGTATACAAGTACAAACAAGGATAAGGATCGCGGGTGTTTTTCTCAGATCGGGCTAAATTTATTCGGCACCATTGTGGCTATAGAATGAAACCGGGAATGGAAACCTCGATTTTTTATGTGTAAATCAAAGCTATCTATATTCTTGATGTCAATTTTTCTTGTTTCATAGTTTCGTTGGGTCATAACAATTTATAAAAAACTGTTTTTGTAACATTATCATTGAAAAAAAATATACGAAGTCATTTAGATTAGAGGTGCAAAATTTATAAATATGTACCTACTTATAAAAGAGTTTGAAATGAAAAGTTAGGATTTATTATCAAATCAATTTATTTGCAGCAGGGTGGTACGTTTATAGGTGTCCCAAAATATAGAATTGTCCACTGCATTATATTAAATTCATTCATTTATATTCACATTATATTTGCTGTACCCACTTATAGACGTTTTAGCTTAAAATCATAAACTTGAATTCTTAAATAAAATAATTCTTAAAAATAAATGACATTAACAAATAAATGGTTCCATTCCGTATAATTATACGAAAAGCATAAATTTTTTCTTATACTAAGTCTCGGGATGAGCTTGGTCTGAAAGTCTTTGCGTCTTGTACCTTCTCTAACCAACCTCTCCTTTTGTGTTTCATATTCGTGAATGTATTTTTTTAAATTTGGTAAGAGAACTAGGACTTTTAGACTCGGGACAGTCCGTATATGAAGCTCTTTAAAATATTTATTACATGATTATTGTTGTTTAATACGTACAATTCAATTCAATTTAGTTCGGTTTCAATTCAATCGCTCTTTTTTGCTTGGGTTGGAAACCAACTTGGGTTAGAAATTAAACCCACGACCAGACTCAGCAGTCAGAATCAGGTTTGCTAAGCCAAAGGTCGGGGATTTGATACCCCCTCAGGACAAACAATTGATCAGGATCATTTGATCTGTGTCTAGTACACCTAGATTATTTATAATATATATGTATATAGAAACAATTAGGTATGTTTATTTCAGCAGTCTAGTCACCATAGCCTTAAGAACACGAATCACCACCCCTATTCATCCCGTATGTGTCGTAAGAGGAAAACTGCGCAGGTCAAAAGCACTGCAAAGAGAAGGTAAACTTGAAACAAATCCTGTACCAACCCGTCTGGCCAGCGGAAGGAAAGGCCTATGTCCAGACAGTTTTGCCGTATTTGGAATCAGATTTAAAAGAAACGTCTAGTACGTTTACACACAAACAAAGTATACTGTCAAAAGTACATACATGAAGATATTATTGTCATTGGCATGACATATCTTTATAATTGTAGTGACCGAGATGAAAAGAGGTAACATATAAAAACTCTTTTAGGTTTTTGATAATAACCTCTAAGAAGATATTCGTTTAGTTTCTTTTTCGCAGTTTAATAGACAAATGTCTTCTAAATTTAATTTTCGAAAAAGAAACTTATGTCACCCAAAAAAGCTTTCGATTCAGTATTGTTTCAAAATTCACTAGAAAAACAGCTCACAATATTACTTTAAAACTATAAAAATATTTTTCAAAGTTTTAATCTAGAAAAATAATTATAAGCCAAACCAGTGTAATTTCTCAAAGGTATATTTTTTTTTAGAGAAACAGAACCTATAACTTTCTCAACAATGTTTGGATTAGGTAAGCATAATATTTCGTATATATATTAGTGGGTTTGCAGTTTAGTGCGTAAAAGTAATTAAAATAGGATATGTTCACAAATAAAACCTCCTAAGGAGAGGCCTATGTCCCGCAGTGGACTAGTATAGGCTGTTGATGATGATGATGATGTTCACAGATTCGTGTCTGAAGGTTCTTGAAAACGGGTACTGTTAGCGATGGGGAAGGAACCGTTGTCGAGAAAACAAGTAACGGAATCCATTAAAATAAATGATTAAAATCTTTCTGATGAAGAAGCAATAGCATATTTTAGATATTGAGAAGTTTAACAAATGGTCTCATGAATTGGTTAAAAATTTTTGTTACAATTGGCAGTTATTTAATGGTGTTTCGCTATACAGGTGGTGGTGGTTTTGGTGGCCAAGGATTCGGTGGCGCCGGAGGTTTCGGTGGTCAGGGTGGATTTGGAGGCTTTGGTGGTAATAGCTTCGGTTCAGGAATGCAAAGAGCATTTAGCCAGGGAATGAGCCAGCCATCCAACTTTGGAGGAGCCGGCGGTTTCCACCACGGGGGTGGAATGCATGGTATGCACAATGGCATGCAGAGCAGCATGCAGAGCGGCATGCAAGGCGGTATGCCGGGTGCTGCTATGCAAGGCGGCATGCAAAGCGGCATGCAGAGCGGATATGGTCAAGGCAGTGGATACGGCAGTGGTTATACCTCGGGCCAGCAAGGCGGCCAATCTTCTGGTGCACAAGGTAGCCAAGGTGGCTACAGCAGTTACCAAGGAGGCTATGGCCAATGATAAAAAATTTAAGTGTACTGTTTGTAATGTAGTGTCCCGTAGTCAAGTCTAATCATGTCCCACGTCCTTTGTAATAAACGAATGTATTAAATTCATTTACTCGTTTTATTGTAACACACGGATAATTTGGTATATGTAGGTAATTACCCACTTACCACTGGGTGTTTTGTGTCCGTTTCATATATGTTTGTAAATTCCCCCGTGACACAGGAATGTATTCCTACTGCGGGAGTTGCCTTTTTTAAATAAATAAATAAAAATAACTTATTTAGTCGCAAAGTCCACTGAATCAAGTGTCCACAATCAAAACGTCCCCATTATCAAGACACAAAATGTCAATTTTTTCAATTAGAATGTCACAAATGGTGTAGAGCTCTAATATTGGATTTCTTTTTTTCTACATTTTTTCTTGCTGTAGTTTTCTTTTCATGAACATGTCGAAATGTTTGGATTCTTTTTTTATTTTATGGAGACGATTAAGACGGACGTGTTGGAATCGAAACATTTAGTCGGTGATGTCATTCTTCTAGCGCGTTTGTAGTACGATGACGTTGTCTTTGTTTGTTGCTTAGGCTCTCCTCTTTGATTTGCTCCGTTTTTTCTTCTGCATATCAATGACCATGTTGAAAACATGTTCTTTATATCGGTCGCCCCAATACTTCTTGGGAAAACGTCACCGAGAGTCGAAACAAACATGTCTGAAATTGACTAAATCTATTCCACTAACTCAAAAAGACAGGTTTGCTCGTTCCTCTGTTTGAGAGCCCCTCCCTAACTGCGTCAGCCAGTACCGGAATCCTGGGCATCGACATATTCGGCAGTATTTCACTCTGGCTCACCGCCTTCAGCTCTTAAGTGCGGCCGCATATGGAATACCGTTCTCATCTATGCAGGGGTACCTCAGTACCAGCTTCTCCCTCTGGGCCGCATCCAACGAAGAGCGACTACAATCTTCGATAGCCCAAAGATCTCCGATCAGTTCGATCCCTTGGCGTTACGTAGAGATGTATCTTTACTCTGCATTCTCTATCGTATATATCATGAAGAATTTTATCCCCATCACTTGGATAACTGGCGCTCCACCATTGTGCGCTTTTCAAGACACTTTTTACCTCGACCAATCTGTGGAACAAGTTATCGTCTACGGTATTTCTAGACCGATGCGACCTTCAAGAAAAGATCTTCTAAAAGGCCGGCAACGTGTTTGTGACTTCTTAGTTTGAAGGCGTTTACGGGCGGCGGTAGTCACTTCACCAGTTGAACGTCTGCCCCCTCTTCTATGAAAAAAAGAAAAGAAAAGCAATTATTGTAGTTTGAGAAATTGGTGGTTTTTCTGAAAAGTTTATGACGTTGTTTACTATATATTATTCATTAAAATTACTCTTCCAGATATTTTATGTCGTTAAACATAATATCATTGTTTCAGTAAGCAGTCACAGATTAAAGTTGTACACATTTTATAGAAAACAAATTGAATGTGAATATTCTAGAAATGTATAGTCTAGACTATACATTTCTAGAATATTCACACATAAAATTTTGGATTTCTGAATTGCATATCTGTATTTGGTCTATGATGAGCTAGATAATTTTGTGTATATCGAAAAAATCCTACAGCTATACACCGCTAAAAACGCCCTTTTCCTAAGGCAATAGAGTGATAAGGCTGAAAGCACCATATGCATTTAGATTGTGATCTTTTTTTATTTCTTGACAAAATGATTTTACTTTTAATCAAAAATAGTCAAAATTCATAGCCCAGAGTAAAAAAAATGTCACTCAAAGGTCTTTAGTTATTATCCAAAGTGTGGATTACTTAATTCAGATATTTTGCTAAAATATTAAAGCGCAATACGAGATCTCGGTGTATAACAGTCGTGATTCGAGTCATTATCTCCTAAACATATAAGGTATTCCTGAATGTTTTATATATGTGTGTAAATGTGACATGCGACGCAGCAAATAACAATAAAATATGTCAGGTAGAAGAAAAATATACATTAAAAGTTAAATCATAAAAATAACTGAAAACCCTTGTGCCATTTTTTTTTTACTTTGGGCTATGAGTTTTTGCCTATTTTTGATTAGATGTATAATCAGATTTATTCAAGAAATAAAAAAAAACTCAATCCAAATGCACACGAAAGCATCTGGTAGGTATTGCAAAGTTAACATTTTGCAAACTTACGAAAACTCAATATTTCTGTAATTTAATGTTTGTGTAATTATCTCTATTACAATCATTTTAAGATTAAAAGTTTTCTCATGTCCATAGAGGTATCATCGCAATAAAACACTAAAATCATAAAACAATTGTATTTATTTTTCATTGTATTACATGTTTATCTGCATCTGTCATAAATTTCGACCCGAACAGGTTTCGTTCAACTAAACGCAAATTATAATCAAGCACAATTACATAAATCTGTCCCATAAGAGACAATCTACTTTTTGTTTATTATAGAAAAATACACGTCCTCAGTGCTTTAAACGCCTAGACTATGACTAAACAACTGCTGCCCTAAAGAAATGCCTTAATTTATATTTCCTCTATTCAATATATATATACCGTCGCCAGGTCTATTCTAAAAATATAATTATTGCAAATTAATCTATCTATATATTTTATAAGTACGCACTTCTTTACAGCAGCGGCAATTTTTTTTTTATTACATTGTGCATATATTTAGACTGTGTTCATAAAATTACTTTATATAACAAATGCACCTTTAAATGATGTTATATTTTCTTTATTAGTATCACTATAATTTAAACCTTATTACTCTTGAAAATAAATAAAATCCAAACGTCTAAATAAATATATTTAAGTACTACTATTTACAAACGCTAACAATTATATACACAGATCAATAATTTTTAATGTAATAATAAAAAGAAAAAGCGTTTTTTTTTTTTAATCTATCTCTCAACTAACTTTAAAGCATTATAGAAGGCGAATAAACGAACACTATTATTACAATCATAATATATTATATTTTCTCAAGATCCCCCTCATCAGAAGTAACTTTATGTAAATAAACTTGTATACAGCAGGAAACAATTTCATTTTAGGGTCACAATGTACTACAGATGTAAGCAACTCTATGGTATCATAGAATTAACATTCTCACGAAACAAGATTCTGAGCTTCTTTATAAAAATATTAAATATTTTAATTTTTATGTCAATTTTATTAGTACTGTATTCCATGTGGGTGGTCGGACTCATGGTTTCGAAAATGACTTCTCGACCGAACATTTAAGTTTGTTTTACGTTTGAAACGAATTTAGAATTATTACAGCGACTAAGTCACATTTAAAAACAATTAACCTCATAACATTGTCAATCAGAATACATAAGTCGTATGTTTCCTGCTCCGATTCGGATGACTGGCGCGATGGATGCCAGGTTTTATTGAGGTTTTTACGCAGACAGGTCTGTCTAAGCAAAAAACAGTGCTGTTCTACAAACGCGTGTGTTCAGAACACATACTACTATGAACGTACCCTCTACTACCGACCTACACCAATGTACTGCAACTATGATGCTGCGCTACATTTAGTACACCAAATGCTCCCTAGCGCATACAAAGCTAATTTAAAATTTAAATACACTCATTAATCATTACCCTGTCGTCAAGCGATAGAATAAAACAATTTAGTAACAACTACGTTATGTTATACATCTGTTCATTAAAACATTATTATTATGAGCAATAACATAAAATCATTATGGCTACGAAACAAGCGGAGACATTTGTTTTATGAATTTAATAAAAAAAAACTTCCATTCATTAGTATTTAACGAAAGCAATTTGCAGTAGTGCTATATTTATAGAAAATTTTCCCACATTACATCAGGTGGTATTACTTGTACAATATTTTATTTCAGGCACAAAATCTATATATTTTATACCACAATTGAAAGTGCCTCCTAACAAAAAGTTTGTAAGCTATATTCGACGATATCGTATTCTGACAGCTGTAGGAAAATGTTGGTTATTATTACATCTTAGAATGTAGCGAATGGTCATTTAATTAATACTTTATGTCGCGGCCACAAATCGCTTCATGTACTTATGCGATCACGTGGGATATCAAAACTCGACATTTACTATTACCCATAATTATTTTTTTTCATTGTTTTAAATATCCTACAACAATGAACAATTCCGCGTAGGTACGGTCAATACAGCACAGTCCTCAAAAGCTGCCAGGCGACTGTCGAATGTCACAAAAATCGACAGAAAACAAAAATCCTCTAGTAAAAATCACACATTAGTAATCGCTTTAGACACCGCTTGTTTCATGGTCCCATTTCCAAATATATAAAATTGAACTCGGATTATTAACAAGCATTAGCAGATTTTTAACAAAGAGAAATTGTAACAGCTAGGTTAGCTCAACATCGATATATTTGTTAAATAAATAACAAATTATAAGGAACCATTATCAATTGTATATATTCATAATAATTTCGGTACATTTCTATAACTGCCTAAAACACATCGTATGCCAAGCATTTTCCATTTCAACAAAGTCAAAATCCAACTGCCCGAGTACAATAATCAAAAAAAAATTGTGCAATAATAACGATTAATACTAACTTGTCATTATAAATAAACTTTAAAAAATGATTAGATACAGTTGGCAACCCGATTTCGTGACGTCATAAGAATACGTTTATATGTAGGTGGGACAATGGTCTAGGCTCGTGCCGCAAGCGTCGCATATCTTTGCGTCTCGTTCGTTGACTAGGGTGCAAGCAGGACACTCGCGCCCCCCAGACCTCAGCGGTTGTATCTCGGGCCCCCGCTTAGACTTACCACACATTTCACATGCAGCTAGAGCGTTTCTATTCAAGTATGTGCATGTTGCGCACTCCCATTTGTCTCTTTTCGCCTCACTACTTGCAGTATCTGGCCTCTCTCTTTCACTCGTGTGGTGGTTTTGTGTCCTGCTAGGTCGATCGCCGTTCTGAAGGGGCTGTTTGGGTGGTGACCGCCGCACGCTATCCGCTTCGTCCAGTGACACGATAAGCTGCGCCTTTAAGTCGTAGCTTGTTTGGTGTGAATTGGACGCTGTGAAATAAGATTCAGTTTATACTAAATACATTGGAACCCGAGAAGATGAAGATTGAAACGGAAATAGTTTTAAGGAAAATATAGGTCTATGATAATAAAAAGTGTAAATTAGTACAATTACACACATCAATTTCGTTTTTTCGTTTCGTTTAAAAAGACAACTCCCGCATTAGGAATAAATCCTGTGTCGCGGGGGACTTTACAAACATACATGAAACGGACACAAAGAACACCCAGACTCAGAACAACAATTTGTGGATCACACAAAGTGTCGTCCCATGTGGGGTTTGAACCCACAACACTCGGCGTAGTAGGAAGCGGCGTGGCGACCGCTTAAACCACTACGCCATCCGTGCAGTCGTCAATATACAAACAATTAAAAAAATGTTTTAATTGTTAATAATCCAACTCGCGCTTAATAAGAACATCTTTAAGAAAGCAAAACTTGTAGTAATGTATTTGTAATTGAAAATATGAAATTATACATAATATATTATATTTACTCACATATATTAGTCTTAGAACCGTGCCCCGTACTATGTACACCATTCTCAACCGGTTTTGTCTTCGACTTGTCTACTTCAGCAGCAACCAACTTCGCAGGTTTCTTCACCTTCTTCACCTCGACTGTACTCGAGACCCGTTCACCGTTTACAGTATTTTGCTGCTTTACAACCTCCTTCCTATCTCGTATGTCCTTCTTTGACAGTAACTTAACCTTATCTGGGGCAATTTTAGGGGTTATTAAAGCATCCGCTTTGGGGTTTCCAACCGGCTCCGGCAAATGTCTTTTAGGTTTTCTTTCGTCTAGTGCTTTCTTCGCTAAATGTTTTGCCCGTTTTAATTCTTGTTCCTGCTTGATTCTTATTATTTCGTTCACCTTGGCCGTGCGGTAAACTTCTTCGTCATAAGAACGGTCAAGGTTAAGCGCTTGCATACCATCTTCTAAATCAAGCGTTGTCGGCTGATATTTCGCTCTCCTTTCTTCTCTGTCTAATCTATCGAGTGTTCTAGAATCTCTATCGAACGATGGAGAGTATCGACTTCTAGCTTCCGGATCTTGATCTTTGCTCGATAAGTTCCTGAACACGTAATCCCAGCTTTCGTAGGTACCCATGCCATCTTCTTTTGCTTTACTTAGAGCTGGTTGCGTATCAGACCGAGGTATACTAGGAAGAGTAACATCACTTAATCCTGATTTAGATGTGCTGTTCCTTCTAGAAGATTCTAGCCTACTCTTCCTATGATTTCTTTCATCTTCTTTGTACCTCTCGAATTTGCCATTCTCGTAAACTGAAGGGGTGTCTAGCTCGATTAGTTGCCCAGTGGGTACGGAGTCGTACCTGTATTGGGGCATAGGAGGGTACCCGTTAACCGGAACTGTGGCGGCGTGTTTAATAGGAGCATATACAGGTGTGGGGATCATATATGGGGATTGGACCGGGTAGTAATATGGGATGCCGTAGGGGGTCATCATCGGGACTGTGGAACAATGTGGCATAGTAACAGGAACATCGGGATGGAGATGAGGGTACATAACTTGAGGCATAACCCCTTGCGGTACCAGGTAAGGATTCAGAGGGGGTATATGGTTTTCTGGGGGCATATCTTCGCATATGTGGTTGCAGTGTGGTTGTGTGGCGTTGTATCGACTGTCTATTAGTCTGCTTCGGTATGGCTCTGCAGGGATCGTCGTTGGTATGTTCGAATATATATCTGAAGCTGAAAAATAAAAGAAAACAGTTTTAGCATTAATAGCTGTACCTGTACAAGTGTGGGACTGACGTGTCTACTTACGAGCCTTTTGAACTACAGCCATAGATCTGGATTATTTTAATATATATTTTTTAACACTTTTATGAATATTATTATAAATAGTACATAGTTTTTAGGTATTTGTTCCTTATAGGGAAAAAGTAATTCGAATAGGATCATTTGTCTCATCATATCATTATCATTTGCCTGTCTGTTTATTTTATCTTCTAAATATGCTTTTAACAAAAAAAAATGGTCACCTTTTTATAACTTCACTAAAGTAATGGACAAGTGGCGATAGAAGCAAGTTTTATTAAGAAAGAACCTTTACAAAATAAAGATCTCAGACTTACTGTCGTTGTACAAGATTTTGCCTCTATCGGCAGCGGCGGAGTGCGAGGGGTGAGCGGGGTGTGAGGAGGGCGCGGGAGGCGCGGCGAGGTGAGCGGCGGCCTGCGCAGGCGCAGAGGCTCTCGCCACTCGCTCGGCGCATACCTCTCGCCACGATATCCTTGCGCCTGAGCTCCACACCGCCTCCCAGATGTGAGACATAATCTGTGCACATACACCTCTCGTAGTCATTTTTTGAGACTAATTACAGTTTAGTGACACTACACAAAAAATACGCTTCTATGGCGAACTGGATTAAAAAGTAAGAGTTCTACTATCCACCTCTTTCCTGACTTCATCATCAGACGTTAAGACAATTTGTTGGACTCGTTAAAACCAATCCAGCCCAACTTGGGAAGTTTACTAGTAAATACTGAAAAGTTCCACTCCAAATATCCCGGTCATCAGATCAGCGTCAAGATTTAACTTGTCCCCGTGAAACTAAGAATGGTCTAACAGATTAAGTCTATCGACTTAGTATTTTATTGCCGCTGTTAGGTTCGGTTTTTTTTAATACTTCCGTATCTTTAATGGAAAAAACGCGACATTGCTCTCACTAAAAAGGTACAAAAAACGCTACGCGTTATAAGTATTCCTACTACGAGTATAACGATAACCATAAGCAATAGTTCTCTTTTTAGTTTCTTATTCTTCTCTCACTAGTTAGCCAACTCACCTGACATTCACACTGCGCGATGAGAGCATCCCTAGAGACAGCGGCGACCATATCCGGACATATGGGCCCCTCTAGCTCCAGTCGCCCAGACCCCGCTGACTTGTATCCCATTGTGTGAAGAAGTATCTCTGCACCGACCATGTTAGCTTCGACTTCGTGTTTGAAATAGCCGCAGTATAACTGAAATTGTAACCATACAATTTAAATAGTTGAACGATGTTACAATATTATTATGGTAAGACTGATAAGAGTATTCTTAAACAATTTGACAGTTATAAAGTTGGTGCTGTTTAGAATTACTAGCTTCTGCAAGCGGCTTCGCCCGCGTGTATGTCGGTTCATCATATTCTATCATCCCGTACAAACTTCCAGCTCCTTTTCATCCCCTCAAAGGATGATTTCTTGGATGAAAACTATCATATATCCTTTCTGGGGACTCAAACTATTCCTATATCAAACTTCATTTAAAGTGGTTGAGCGGTCCAAGCGTGAAGCGGTGACAGACAGACGAACTTTCGCATTTATAATATTAGTATGAATTTTTATTGAAGGGCAAACGAGGAGACAAGCAAAACCTGTTAAGTGACTACCGCCGACCATGCAAAGCTTCACCAAGCGTCACAAGTGCATTGCCTTTGAGAAGACACCCCCGCCTAGATTCAGGGGAGGGTTTTGGGCTCCGGCAACCTTACTCACATCTCGCACTCGCATGCCATGCCATGCCCATTTGTTAAGAAGAATGGCTCTCCCACGAACGAACTTTCGTTCTACTTACGTACTTACATCTGTATGTACATACAAGTACGTACCTTGATGTTATACGTACATAAGAAATAATAGTTACTATATTCAAATTTTTGAAGTCAATTTGTCTTTTAAAGTCGTTTTGGCGATAACTATAATATAATGTCAACTTCATTGTTTAAGTCACAGTCAAAACTCTTGAGCGGTTTAAAGTTCTTTTATCAAACCCTGGCAACTTACCTGGCTTGATACTTGAATGCTAACATACCTACCACTATGCTACCGAAGTCGACAGAGCAATAAAAGGAATGGGAGATATTGTGACTAAGCATTTTGGTTGGCTTTAGGGCTAAGTATAGGCTTCGGGCCTAAGTATATTTCTTATATAACATTTCTATCGACTTGATTCAAAATGTTACCTTAATTTATAAAATTTGAAACGAAAAGTATCGACATCATGTCATCTTTAATATTCTGTATTTTTATTAAATCAATATAATTGTCGATACAAAACAAAGCCAAGTCACACGTTTTTACATCTAAATATACCATTCAGACATTTTTAGGAACAATGAGCAAAAACACTATTATTCAGATTATCAATAATTTGTGTGAACACTTGTATTAGTTTAGTTATTTGAATATCGGTAAATTGATAATAATCGTAAATATACACCGTCATAGAAAAAGCAATTTGATATCATCGTCTACAAATCATCGGAATTAACCATAAGCACACAGGCATCACTTAACGCGAAAAATATTTTGAACAAGCTAGTAGAAGGTATATTCGCTGTAAACTTCTTCTTGAGCTTGATATTAAGTCTGCCACGTTTTATAGACTTGATTATAACGAAAAATAATAGCTTAAAAACTCACCCTTATAACCCTGTACTCTTTTCTCCAAGGCTGTGCTAATAAGTTAGCCGCGTACCTCGCGAGCGCTGCCCATCCTAGCCCAGCGCGGTACGCACTGAAATCTGACAACTCGTTAACAGTCCTCTGGAACACCTTCCCCGTTTCAGCCAGCCCAAACTTGCACTCATGAGGCACTAACGATAAATATTCTATTATATAGTCTGCAACAAAGAATGATCATTGTGTACATTGTGTTTCAATAAAAAACATCTGACAGTGTTATATTTGGTATGATCGGCTGTTGATGTTATCGTCTTGGTATAACGAGTTCGAGATTGATTGAGAAAGGTACGAGAGTTATAATGACAAAATTAAATGCCGAACGGGGAAGCGAAGGCGACATGTTATTTGTGAGTGGTCGTTTTTTTATCAAAACTAATATTTTACTTGTATAAACGGAAGAAAAGTTAGTAAGATTTAGTTATACTAACTAACCGGGCCCTGAACAAACTAAGCTTAGAGCCTTGCATTAGAAGAAAATATTTTCTGGTTTAGGAACGACACTCGCAATTGGAGATGTTAATTACGTCAAATGTTTTTAATTTTACTTTGTATTTTTTTTACTCGTGTAAACAACCAACCAAACAACTGTAAAAAGTCAAAGCTTTAGTTGTCATATAAATTATAGGTGTATTACATCCATGTAATATATTGGTATTGATTGTGGGCCCCGGTTTCCGCATTTAGACTGAAGAATGCTTTATGCGAAAGGTTGGCTAGGTGAGCCAAACAAGCTTCTTCCAGAAGCACAGAAGCCTCCTGGGGCTTCTAGGAGCGATTCTGTATCCCGATACCGCTCCTCTATGCACCTGTTCGATATTAGCCATGTATTACAAATGTATGTAAAATATATTTTTTTCTAATTTTATTAGGGGTTTTGGCATCACCAGGGACTTCCTTTCTAGGGTATACCTGGTTCCCCGGCTATTAGTACCCGAGACGGCGTGCGGTTTTAGTCGGTTCAAATCCGACATGCCACCGATAGGTGGTATCCGAGGGGATTGCCGCACGGAAAACAAAAAGAAAAAAAGGGTTTTGGCATGACTGGTTCTTTTGCCTGCCTGACGCCAATCATCACTGGGAATCTAATTGCTTTCAGAAGGGACATTAGAATAACTTGAATAGGGGTGAGCCCTATACATTTTATATAGGACTCGAGAGCAAAAGATAAGGGTTAGCACTGGTCTCGGACGGGAAATTGGACTAAGCATGTAATAAAACGAAGCCGGAGTCGTTTAGGATTAAACATATTCTACCAAAACATCTACGGAGCACTGAGTTAATTTGTTTGAATTCTCTAATATTTATTAACACCAGGTGAATAAAATGATGTCAATAAAATGCCCACCTTCTAATTTCTTCTTCTGCTGCAATTTCTCGGGGCTATCATCCGTTTCCAGGTAACTGTAGTGAGCGTCTTCTATACGACGCCATAAAGTTGGCAGTCGATCGCGGAGCACCGCATCGCCCATACCCACGCACGACATCACCATCACCATAGACACTCTTCAGGGTAAACTGGAAAAAATTAATTTAACATGTGCTTTAAAGAGAGCTGCCTGTACCGTATCAAAATAGATGGCTCATTTGTTATTAATGGAAAATTACTACTTTATCATAATAATCCCATAAGAAGCCCCTAGTTATTAAAATCAATGTCTTTCTCCTATGGCCGCCCCAGTGGATTTAGGTTTTGCAAAAATAGTTGTCACATTCACTACAGCGAATACAGATAACATTTTCTTTTAATTATAAGGATTTACAAAAAGTTTCTCGAATTGATTCTTTGCCAAAATTTGCTAACGACCTGTTTAGAGGATTAGTCGAATATTAGACGCTTCCACACCCAGCTTTGCCGTTATGCCTGTGCAAAATTCATCCAAATCTGTCTATCCATTACTCATTACTGTTACACAGTTAAGTAACCAAAGTACACACTCGTAATAATTCAGACAACCAAAAACCAACACTACCCAGGTCCAGAGATATGATGTGTACCACAACAAAAAGACAGATGTCTAACAGATGTCTAGCATGACTTACATGACTAATAAAACCAGACTCTATTTATTCAATAGGCACGTCAGATACATATGTTTTAAGTGCGTTCATTGAGTGTTGAAAATATTTTTTTGTAATTTGTATGTGTAAAAAGAATATTCATAGACACCTAGTGGTCGTATACTGTCGACGTCACGTGTGAGTCACAGTACTATTAACTCAGTTACAGACAGGATGAATTATATTATCATCATGACTTAGACCAAGGCCAATATTACCATGTAGAACTATTTGTTAATATGTGATATTATCATATTGGTAATTTTGTACGTTAAGATAACACCACTGCTGGGTTTGACCATAGCTAAAAAAATACTAAGTTAATACAGAAAATATAAAAAAATCAAGACTCTAAGCTCAAAGCTCTCAGGGCTTAAAAAAAACGTCACCAGATTTTTTTTCTAGCGTGAAAGATGTTCAACATTAAATAAGTAGGGAAAAAAATATTTGATATCTGAAAAATTATATGATTCCGTACTATAATAACTGTTTGAAATAATCAAGTCAATCATCATCGTAGTATTACAGTGTTCCAGTGCCTCGAGAAGTGGACTAAGCTTCGTCAAATCTTGGTGGCGGAGTGGGAGCAACGGCTTGCGCGGCCCAGCGCAGGGCACGCCGCTATAGCGGCGTTAAGACCGCTCTCACCTTCCGGGTGACGCAGGTGCTTTCCGGACACGGTTGCTTCGGAAAATACCTGTGTCGGATCGGCCGGGAGCCAACGTCACAGTGCCATTATTGTAATGACTGCCCTGACGACAAGGCGCTTCACACGCTGGCGGAGCCAGCGTCGTGATCTTATCGCGGCAGGCAGTTCTGCGGGCAACTTCTCGCTTCCGACCTTTATTTTGTCCATGGTCCGGAGCGAGAGTGCGCACCCACAGAAGGCGACAAGGACATCCATGAGGATCTTCCACCCCGTTAACAAAAAAAAACAGTGTTAATCACTTTTACTTTGCTAAGTGACTAACTCTGATATTTGTTATCAGTTATTCGGATAATTAATGCTTATTTGTGTAATGTTTCATCGGTGATTTGATTACAGTACAATAACCTACAAACGAAATACGACAAATTAAAATCTCTTGGCGCTCTTTTTTACACGGTTTCATTACCTTATCTTTTAACTGTGTACACATAACTTGGAAACGAATTTGAATCTACTACTTAAACTTGTTATTTTAATTTAAATACCACAATTATTTTCGTATTTAAATAAAACTTTGTATGCATGTATAGTTTCTTGGAACTGATCTGATGGTGCGCCAGTAGGTGGGTAGTGATACTCATTCTTATTATATTTCGGTTGACCAAAGTATTTCCGTATTAACTTGAATCTAATGTGTACACATAAGCGAAGTACACCGAGTTTTATTCGTTAATAAACATGAAGTAATGGAGTTATAATCGCTGGATGCATAATTAATCGTTTATTTTGATGACGTAATTGCCGAATATTCGATAAGATGACAACATTTGGGTGTTCCTTACGTAAAAAGCTTTTTATAGATCTAAACAAAATGTCGAAAAATACATGTACTACTAAATTTGCTGTTATTTTTGACAATATTATTCTTATTCCATATACCTAATAAAATTTTGCATTTTTTTTTTAAAAAGACAACTCCCGCATTAGGAATAAATCCTGTGTCGCGGGGGACTTTACAAACATACATTTAACGGACACAAACAACACCCAGACTCAGAACAACAATTTGTGGATCACACAAAGTGTCGTCCCATGTGGGGTTTGAACCCACAACACTCGGCGTAGTAGGAAGCGGCGTGGTGACCGCTTAAACCACTACGCCATCCGTGCAGTATTAAAGAGAGATTTGTAAAAAAACTATATTTCTCACTGTTCGGTATCTAATAAAAGGTCGTTATCTTTTTTAAGGGCCTTATTGAATGCGCAAACTAGAGAATCTATAGATACAAGAACTAACCATAGTATTACGGTACAGCTGAACTTCGATTTTTTATGCGGAGCGACTGCCATCAGATCACCACACCACCCAAGTACCTACATACTAGGCGATATCGAAGTTCTGTAGAAAGACTGCTGTTTGACTTTTTTTAGGGCTGCAACCGACGGCTTAACGTGCTTTCCGAGGCGCAGAGGGGCTTCAATGCGTTAAGAATGGTAACCCATCCATAGACTGACCTGGCTAGGGTTGTTTAACTTTGCAATGTATCAACCTAGTCGGTTACCAGTTAGCCACGAGCCCCACAATGTCTTACTAGTAATATGTATAAAGGCAAAAAGGTTTGTATGGATAGATGGATGCAGAAAATACCCTCCATATTTTTACGCATGGAGGGGTGGTAATGTTTTACTAATTGCAAACAAGGGATATAGTATTGGTTAACCGGACCTGTTCTATTCCTTCACAAATTCGAGAATTTCAAAGGTCTCAATAAAATGCTGGAATCTGTGATTTTCGGACCTCGGAGTGCAGGATTGCAATTATAAGTTCTACATAATTTCATACATTAATAATCTTAAAACTATATCCTATCCTCTGCACGCTAAAACTGCTGAACCAATTTAGATGAAATTTGGTATGGACATACTTTTATTCTTGAAGAATGAACTTTTCTAGTAGAATATAAATAATTTTGCAAATAAACTACCTTTTAATAAAATAATTGCCAGGGGTCTGTTTGTCTAAAAGACCCCAGACGTATTTTTATTTATTAAATAAAATAGAGGAACCTCCTCGCCAACGCTACTGGTATAAATAACAGATTTTTTTTGGCTGCAGTATGCAAGAAAGCATGAAAGAATGAACATGGAAAATAAATCCTTGTGTGCGTAACAGCCTCGGCAAGATCAATGAAATGAAACGATTTGAGATGTTCTTCTTTTAAAAAAAAGATTGAGTAATGAAAGTGTACAAAACAATAGACAAGTGAGTATTTCATACATTTTGAAATATCAAAAACATTAGAATGATTAAAACTATAAATTCATATATACATCAGTTAATTTCAACCCAAATATTTGTTTGACAATGAATCAGTAATTATAAAACACTACGCGACGGCGACAAATAAAATAATAACTTACGGGGAAAGCAAACACATATTTCTCATAATCACCTATAATTAAATCACCATTATAAAAGCAAAAGTGTATGTCTGTTTAGAAACCAAATAAATAAGTATAGGTACCCTTTCTAAACCAAACACAACAGTAATATTGAGCTACTGATAAACACGCCAGTATCTAATAACAACAGGCCGGTGTCCATGACAACGTTCCATGTTATCAAACAAAGAACTGGTATAATAATATTATAAGCCCTGTAAGAGATCATGTCTCGCATTTAACTTGAATTTTATTAGTTTTGATGCGCGGCGGTAAATTATTTGACTGCAGCGTCAGAGGTTTCCGCTTCGTGTAATTAAACATTTTGCATTGATCTAGGTGTTTCAAGCTAGGAGGGGGCCCGGATGTCTTAATAACAGCAGTTCTCGGATCTCTCCTATTTCAGGCCCTGAGTGGCACACCTTGTGGTTTTAGTGGGTCCGATTACGATACACAACTTCGCCGGAAGCCCCGATGGGGTAACGGCACGGGGGGAGCTCTTTTGAGTTTTTTGCTCTTTTAAGTTGAATGAAAGTTCACGCCTAGAACATGCCATTTAAAGTTAATGCTGTGGACGGGTTGTGCGGGGATGCACGGGTTCCCTCTTTAGATTTATTGGAATAACGCAAGTGCAATGTAGATACTACTAATGTGGTGTCAGAGTGGAGTAATTAATTAAACTATTATGATAAAACTATACTACACGACATCTTTATATGCAACATGTTTAGGCCTGCTCCGCTCAGAGACAACAGTCGTAATTGAGGACTAACATAATAAAAGTAATCAGCGAAGTTCCAAGTTTGCGAAGCTCAAGGTTACCAATATCTTTGGTCGTTGCATGAAACAGAATCTTGCAAAGGAGTACAATAAACTCGTGACTCATACAGTCATTGTTCAGTTTACACATCAATGATCAATTCATTAGTGACAATACTTGTATTATCGCTCATGGCTAAGTGGTAACCGAGTAGGTTAACACACTGCAAAGGTAAGCAATCCTAGCCAGGTTAGTCTATGAATGGGTGACCATTCTTAACACATAGAGGCCCCTCCGTGCCTCGAAGAGCACGTTAAGCCGTCGGTCCTGGTGGCCATACAAACATCTGTGGCAATCGTTTGATATAGAAAAGTCCGACATTAGTCTTTCTACAGAACTTCGATATCGCCTAATACTTGGGTTGTGGAGGTCTGATGGTAGTCACACGTAAACTAATGTACTTTTTTAATAAGGTTCGCTCTCGAAAATCATATACTTTTGCATTGTGAGGAAAGGACTTCTGCAAAAAATATCCTTCAACATAAGTGTCATTCAAAATTCTCTAAAAACTTTCATATAATATTTATTAACTCCTTTAGATGTAAAACTATAAGCGCAACACTAATATCTTTAATACCAAGAATTTCTGTATGTTGAACAACTACTCAAACAATACTGCAAAATAGTACTTAATACTTTATTTGCTTAAATGTCTGTCACACAAAAGGTAGAAATGTGATTTAAAAGTTAGTTAAAGGCCTTTGTTCACTAATGAACGGCAATAGGGTGAGAGAAAGGATAATTTGTAGTCCTGGTAGTCATTAGTCATGCATTAGTATTGCATATAACAATACAATAGAGATGGACTAAACTCATATCTGGATTCTCTACCATCTGTGAGCATGGAAAACGTTAAATGGCATTTGCCAGCTTGTTGAATTTTGACTCTTTTAATAGCAGTGGAATAGAACTCAGACTGAAAAGCCGATACTAATAAAAGGAACAGACAATAATGGTATTTGTTCAGGCTGATAATGAAGACATCTCTAAAAATCCACCAGTAGTCTATATTACTGACTTCTAGTCATTTTATGCAAATATATTCTCATTACAACAAGTGTCACCACCAACATTCATGCCGTGGGTGTTGAGGGACCGACTGAGGGAGCAAACTATGCAGGACAACAGCTGTGCAAAGAGAGGGAAAACTTGACACAAGCCCTAAACCAACCCATTGGCCAAAACCTCCATTATGTAGAGCGGTGGACTATTATAGGCTGTTAATGATGATGACACACAGTCTCCTTGATCTTAGTTATTATTTGTATTATGTTGTGATTTTTAGTAGGTATTATTAATATAACCCATTCCATTTCACCCTTCTTATATTTACAATTAACTGTAACTCAAAAACTAATTAAGTTCAGCCCACCTCAAGCCACTATCAGTTGATAAAGAGATAATGATTGGTAGTTTGATATAAAATACATAAGTCAATGTACTAGACTTTTATATAGTTTTGTTATAGATAAAAATATTGATAAAACACTATGCTTCGTTTTTTTTTTATTATTCTCATGACTCACTCAGGATTATTAGGGTTATTACATAACTTATTCCAATAACAATTTATTTAAACTATACGTAATCGTTGAAAAACTAGCTTTGGAAGGCTAATCATATTATTTATTGCGGAGCTCATATCTAAAATACAGACCCTGCCTAGTTTAAATACAGAAGTGTAACTCATTTGCTAGTACACTGCAGGTACATTTTAGACTTAAAACTCCTTTACAAAAATATAAAACCTGTTTTTCGCACATTCATATCATAGGATATCTACAATTGTACCAAAATATATTTGTTGAGTAGAATTCTTAACTTAAAAGATATGTTTAAGAAGAATAAATACTTTTAATAGACACTCAAATTGAATATGTTATGATTTTTTTGATCTAAATCTCCGTAACCTCTCATGTGCGGCTACACTGTACAGTGCTTACTGACGAAAGCACTGTACAGTTTAGCAGCTAGTGAGGAGTTAATGTAAGACGGATAGAATTAAAATAACTGCTCACTAATCAGAAATTTAAAAAACAATTGCTGAAGTTAAAAGCGCTTTCCATGGACTCTTTACCTTTTCCAAATGTTGCTAATAGAGGTATTCCAATTTAAAATTTTACTCCATAAATAATGTAAACAAAGATCTTGCTTTGAAACCACTATGTGCAATAGCTAAACTATTTAAAAAAAACTGTTACTAGAGTACAAAGCTCAATTACTACTGTAATGTTAGATTTCTTATGCCAATTTGGACCTCCAAAATATGATTAACTAAGTAATCTTTATATACATGGACCACACAAGTTATTAACTAATATTTTAGATAATAAATAAAAATATACAGTTAGTAAAATAATTAACGCCAATTAAACAACTGTCATTATGTATTGCACTAAAAGAATCCAAGAAACTTATGTCGAAGAAAAAATATGCAAATGATCATACTCCCACGCAATACACCAACGTGCGACTCATACCAGTTTTAACCTAATTGTAGCCTACAGCTGTTTTTTATAATGTTTACAAGGGTCTATCGAACTCACCGTGCAGGAAGAACATTCTTTTCCTGGATGTCAAAATTTATTTCAATGCACCGAAACTAGAGCGGACAAAAATAGTTCACCCAAAATAACAAGCCAGCTTATGCCAATTGATAATAGCTTATCACTAACAATTATTTTGCACATCTCATAATCACAGTTTGTACTAATTTATAACAAATGTATTAAAACTCCAGTCAATTTCAAAGAAATGAAAAATAGTAAAACAAAATTTTGGGATTTTGTTTTGACGTTTAACACTGCCTGCTGAATACATCAATACAGATTATACATGACAGTTCGTGCAGTTGAAGTTTAGTATCTATTGTTTACAACAGCCAATGACTAAGGAGTAAGTCTTGCAGTCTTAAAGGAATAACCTATTGATGCGACCTAGAAACGCCTTTTTTTGAAAAAATATCGCAGGTTGTAGAAAAAACGCAACAGTGTGCAGTGTAGTATTATTAAATGATTTGATTGTACAAAGAAGAATGTTAATTCGTCTAGTCCTATTTTCAATTTGTATCCAATAGAGAGGAGACCCTTTTTGTTTTTATTTCATATTTGATCTTATCTTATCGTACAAGGGAACCATATAGCGTATTTTTTACGTCATGACTAAAGCAAATTATATTCTACAGCAAAAGTGAACTGTTGTTCATGTTGTTTTTTGATATGTAACATCTTTCTTCTCGCTTTCCCTCAATCTGTAGAAGTTATTTCGTGAAAAGGCACGGAAGTATATAATAGCTATTTGACTTTGCCTAATGATAAGTTGACCATTAGTTTAATAAGCGCGTGGGGTGCTAAGGTTGGGCCACAGAGTATATTGTTACAATAGGTTGGCTGTGTAACAGTATATCTAGCCTAATCGCCGAAAAAACGTTAATTGCGAGATTTAAGATTGAAGAAGTGAGGAAGTGACTTGAGATAATTTTTTGCAATAGTATAAGGAAGCAAACAAGCAGACCTGATGGTTATTGACAACCACCGCCAATGGACACCTGCCACTCAACAGCCACAAGTTCGTTGTCGCCCTTTGCCCATGAATCAGAGGAGCGAGGGAGATTCAACACCGGTAACCTCACTCACTCGGTAAAAAGCAACAATGCAATCATAATAGTTTCTATCTCTGAGGTCGTGGTGTCACTCGAGCCGGGCCCGTACGTGCTTGAGCATGGCTCTCCCACAGATAAAGCAGACAGCGCAGAATGTGTGACAACACCGTGTAGATTTATGTATTCCAAGTTGCTCCGGTACTGCTTATTAAGAAATGCTTGAAAGGGACTTTAAACTTGCTGTTAGGTTAGCATCAAGGTACCACAGATAAATGATTAAATTAATATGCCATACTATTAGTTTTATAGTTATCCAAAGATAATGAAAAAACCAAAAGTCAAACTGACAAACAAAATCCCTTTTTTTAATATTATATTATTTTATTATTTTGTATACGTTATCATTATGGTTAAATATATTTTATTTTCAGATCCTTTGAGGCAAGAAGAAGTAGCGTCTTTTTACGAGGTTAGTTCTTTCATTTTATTCTTATTTATCTACTCATCAAACAAGGTAAGTTAGCTAAGAAAATGGCGAAACACTCCACTTCAAATAACAGTAATGAAAATATCACAGATTACCTCTAATTACTAGACTACAAACTATTGTAATTTCTTTTAATGAAATAAGTTATGTGTTGATTGTTTGCAAACCTAACAAATAAAAAATGATTCCACCAATAGTGTTCCAGGTGTAATCCAAAAGGTGTCCTCTACCTCCTAAACCTTTATATTGTAATTTAACTATCATTACTGCCTCCGTGATGCAATGGTAGCGTATGCAACTTCTGTGCTGAAGTCTCAGGTTCGACTTCGGAGCAAATGTTTATATGATCTGCAAATGTTTGTATCGGAGTTTGGGTGTTTTCTATGTATAATGTGTATGTATTTACAAAATAAAAGTATATAAGTATTCTATCAGTCAATCTAGCTTTCATAGTTCAAGCTCTGCTTAGTTTGAAACTAGATGGCATTGTGTGGCAATGTCCGAAAATACTATTATTAAAAATCTTCTAATGAGTTTGTTATAAAGTATACTTTCGTCTGTATCATTGTGAATTTATAGTTGTTGGCCAAAATTACTTGATATAAACACTAACTAAAAAAAATATAGGTATGTCGGTGCAATAAAAACATATTTTTATCCATTAATGCATATCATATATCAGCGAAGCGTCAGGAAAGGAGGCTTTCATAACATATGGCAATCCCATTCACGTAGGACTACATAGTTATAAAAAGTCATTTTTTGTAATCAACAGATTTGCCAAAAACACCGGGATTACTACCGAGGCTATCCTAAATGCTACCATCCACTATTGTATTTCAGAGAACCGACAATAGCATTCCAATGCCCATCAGAAATGACTGAGTAAGATTTGCATTAATTCAATATTTATTTGGATCTTGTGAGATTACTGAGAAAAGAATAAAGGCATTAAAAATATAAGTTCGTTGCATATAGGTCTAATTTAAAAAAGTTGCGTAAATAAAGAAGAGCAGCTCTTTATAAGTGGAAACTGAACTTTGAATGCAACTGCTGCATGGAAATTTCAGTTTCCGCTAGTGCATCGCATCAACAAAAAAATAGGAGTCTCCTGTTGTCAGTGTTCTTTGAAATATTTGAACATAAAATAAGTTCTGGCATACGGTCGGTAAAGTATAAACGGACACAAAAATTTGGTCAAAACACAGCCTTTTCAACTCGCTAGACATTTAGACCCAAATTTGATGTGATGCCCCTCAATGTCGAACGAGCGATGTTATTCTGTCGTTATAAAATATACATAAAAATTCAACACATACGTATTACGTAACGTAACGTATTACCTACTGTCACTTTTATTACCTATGTTATCATTGCATTTTTCTGCTTTCAGAGTATACTTGAGCTACCAGCCGTTCCATGTGAGGTATAGGCAGCCCTTAGTCTTACCCAATACATTAGAGCGGACTTCTTACATGCCTCAACTTCCTGATAGAAATCTAGGGGCACGTTATGGACCTACGAGTAAAGCGTTCATACGATAAACTAATAAATGGTTTACGTATTACCGGCTGTATTTTTAATAATATACCTTGAAATCTTTTTGAACTTGATGCACTCTGCACATCTTTAAATGTCTTTGTCTTATTGTAACTATAAAATGTATACTATATAGGTATACTGTTTTCTATTCGTTTTACATTTTCAGTTTTTTGAGAACTTAATGTCATATTTTAAAATTAAACTTTAAAATATGACACTAGAAAAATATGTAGGTACATATATTTTAAAGGTCCCCTGTTTTTAACTATTCGTATTCAAAATGATTTCGTATATCGAAAATCTACACGATATAATTTTGGCTACTAAAAATATAACCCAAAAAAAAACATACTAAATATTGTATATGGGTATATACCCATTCATTCACTCATAATATTATGTAGCTTAGGACGAGTACCGGACATACTAATCTTTATACAGATTAGTATAATCTGTCCAGAGTTGTGTCTCGACCGGAGTGATAAAAAAACAAAAAACGGCCTCACAAAAAACGGTGTTAAGCAATTCTTTCGTAGGTTAGAGCCAGTGGCGGATTAGCCACATAGCAAGAGTAGCAAAAGCTACGGGCCCCGCACTTTCTGACCATAAAAAACTATCTACTTATTTCGATCGAAGTTTAAAAATATTTTTTCCAATCAATGTAGCCACAATTCTTATCAAGAAAAAGTTGCATCTAAATATCGAACTATTATTTAAACTTTTAGTACATTCTTAAAAGTGAGCATTGGATACACGAGAAATTATGTTTTGCACTGCGATCCAACGCTGCGAGCGACGCCCAAGCCGGGCAAATTGCCGGTGTGTGAAAATGACAGACGGGATTCAACTCCCTCCCAGCGATAGACTGCAGAATCAGCCGTGCCCGGCAAGGACCTGCGTCAGTCGGAAGGAAAGGGTCCCGTACTGACGCTATGCCAACTCGACGTGGACCGGCTGGAGTGCATCTACGGGGGCAAAGCCAGCACGTGGAGCCTCCAGCCTGGACGACCAACTAGCCATCAGGGCTCGGCCAGAGGCTTCTCGCCCCTCGTGCACCTCTTCCGGCGGGGGCCTCTACCCGAGCACTTCCTTCCTAATACCACGAGAGTGTTACGGTCGGGCGTCGGCACGGTGCTATAACCATGGCTGGCATATATGCTGGGTGGTCAGAACTGCCGTGAACACCCGCGGTGCACGGTACGGTGCCATTGAACGGACAACCCTGTGAACAGCTGTTTTGTAGCGACGCTGGTCGGGCAAAAGCCACCCAAGAGCAGACGCGGTGCCGACCAGTTTTGGGAGTAAGCTGTCGGGCTTGCTCATCGAAGAGCCATCTCCCGACAGGTATCAGGCCCAGATCCTTCATCTGGGCCTGAACCGGTACAATGATCGAGATTGAGGCGCCAGGGGTTGATTCACGACGAGGCCCGAGAAATAAGAGGGCCTCCATCTTATTCAGGGCCACCTTTAAGCCTAGCGCCTTGCCCTCAGGTGACCCCTCCCCCGCTGCTCATTAGCACTCTACAAAAAAAATAAAGATATACATAGAAAGTTTAATTTCCATAAGAGACAACTACGAGTACTTAAGTTAAATTGTTTTCTAAGATTTGTTTACGCAGCCGTAGTTAGCTGAGTAGTTACTAGTGAAGATAATTAAAGCGTGATTATTACTTAAATCATTTTTAAAACGATTAGTTATTTCCCATCCTTGATTATGCTGATGCCAGCTATCTAGATCTTACTGAAGACCAATTGAATAAGCTTGAGAGACTCCAAAATCTCTGCATAAGATTCATATTTGGACTTCGCAAATATGATCATGAATATCGCAAGAAGCTTAAGTGGTTACCCATTCGCCGTTCGCCGGGATGCACATATTCTTTCTCTTCTTTATAATATTCTATTTAATCCTTTTACTCCACGTTACCTCAAATCACGGTTTACTTTCTCAAATGACACACCCCCGAGCTGTTGAGATCATCTGAGACCCTGCAACTAAAAATGCCGGGACATTCCACTAAATTCCTCGACGTCTCCTTCTCTGTTAAAGCGGTTCGGTTGTGGAACGCCCTACCGGTCGTAATAAGACGTGCACAAACACTTGATTCCTTCAAGAAACAAGTGAAAGCACATTACCTAGGAGACATAAATTTACAATAATTATTAACCGCCTTCTAAGTCAATAAGGTTACATTATTTCTTATATTTAAGTATATATATTTGTATATTATTAATATATATACATTTGCGTGTATTTATAAATCACATTATTTTATTTATTTACTTGTATGTATCGAATAACACCACTAGTCTTATTTAGCATATAGTATATGGCATATTCCTTCTAGTACCTATGTCATATATTCACCTAAGTCGTATCAGAGTCCTAGACCTAGTCCTACCAGTTACTAATTTGTAATTATCACTTTTTCTTTTATATTTATATAGATGCTACATTGATTTCCTCTTCTAATCTACTCGTATTTTCTTAGTACACCAGCCACTACCTCCACCTCCTTGCTTTTATGTATTTCTCTCCATACCGAGGTTGCCTGTAAGAGATTGCCTCTGAGCGATAAGGCCGCCATTTGTACCTGTCTAACCTAGCTTAAGTTAATCTTTATATATTTATACCTGGTGTACAATAAAGAGATTTATTAATACGTATTTATTAAGACGTAAAACCTTATGGCTCTGTTTCTATAACGACTTTAAAAAGTTAGATTTTATAAAAACTCTTTAGATCCTAAGTAACGCTTTTTAGTTTTAATGTCTGTTTATGTCAAAATGTCTCCGTTCAAGTAGCTTATTACCGGGCAATTAATTATATTTAAAATTTACCATGAAAACATCGAAATTTTAAGTCTTCACCATGGATTCTATATTATTCTTTGATAATGGTAGACAGTCAGAAATTGAGACCTTTTATGAAGTAAGTAATAATAAAACTAATGGAGGGAGGATAAAATCCGAAGAACCGAGTCATAGGCCTATTTAAAAAACATAAAAAAAGAGTCATAGAAATCAAATATGCAGTTTCGTTTATAGACCTATTTCTTAGCGTTCCGTGGATTCACCGTGTACTCACACGGGTCGGCCGGGTCCATAGCGTGATAGATGGGGGCAACACATGCGACTTCGACTGATACGAGCCTAGCAATGCGGCTTTGGATATTCGTTCAAGTAAAGAGCTTATTGAAGCTCTTGGCAATCAAAGGTTAAAAAAGCAGGTTATATAGGAATTTAGCTGGTATACCCCTCGCACCTACTTCCGCGGAATACAACGCAACGAAATAACCATTTTTATTTATTTCGTTGGTTAAGTCAAAGTACTTGTTTCTTTTTAAAGCGTGGTCTTTAGGGATATTCGTTTCCTACGGCATCGTGAGTTCTACTAGCACTACCACGCTTAATTGACATTGCATACAGAAATATGTCTGGTCTGGACGCCGAGGCACACAATATTTTTACCGGAGGATATCTCTCCGGTAAAAGATTGTGTTATCTCTTTGCCGGTCTGTCTTCTAGCGTTTCGCAATCCAAGTCTACTGAACTGCGTACCCACCATGAATTTGTTGTGGAGTTGGAGCCGCGTGACTCGAGCTCTGATGATTTGTTGCCTTTTGCAAGGAATCTAACGATTTCGTCTTGTTATTTTGACAAGACATGCATTTTGGTAACTCTTACATGTTTTTAAAGTTCCGAAGGTCTTTTAATTTCATTCAAAAGTTACTCTAGCCCCTATACAAAGATAATGGGTCTGCAGATGGTGCTAGCCCGAGCCAGGACTTCTACTTCGTAGTGACTTTCGCGTCCAGGGTTAAGACCAGTTAGGCCAGTTAAGACGCGATGTTAAGTAGTTGTCGTATCCAAGCATTTATGGCATATATACTTCATGATAAGTCGCCCAGAGATGTATTACAGCAAATGATTTTTATGTATAAATAACTGTTACTTACTGTTTTTACTTACAGTATCGTTTTGGGATAAATCCTGTAAAGACACTGTAATTGTTTTTAATAAATAAATAAATAAATAAATAAATGATATACTTTACGATATATATATTTATTTGTTTACATCCGTGTGTGAATATACGTCTATTTTTTGCTTTATTCTATTGTTTAAACACGCCAATCTCTGGAACTGCTTACTAGTCGAATACTTTATAAACTTATTACATGTTTGGTCCCTTAATTTTGTGACCCTCTACTCTCCGTAGGTTTATTGTTACATATCTGAAGTTAATAACAATACGCGTAGTGGTTTAAGCGGTGACCTCGTCGGCGACGGCGACGCAACGCATCCTACTGCTTGAGTGTCGTGAGTTCGATCCCTCCATGTGACAACACTGTGTGCTCCACAAATTGTTGTTCGGAGTCTGGGTGTTCTTTGTGTCCGTTTCATTTTTATAAGGTCCCCGGGACACATGATATATTCCTTGTGCTGTTACTTTTGCAGTGTTCTCAACGCTACAGGGATTATTACAGAGGCTATCCTAAAGCTTATCATCCTCTGACGTACTTTACAGATCCTGAATTAGAATTTCAATGTCCACAAGATATAACAACGTAAGTTGTATCAATATTTAGTTGTAATTTAAACTGTACTGTACTTCTGAACACACGTGAGGGTAGTCATACTATAACGTGTGATTGACCACTAAACTTTATGTAACTAACTACAATATACACAATTCGTAAAAGAAGCCAAACAACTTACTAATGTTTGTGTAATAATCCTAAGTGTTTTAATTGGAAAACCGCTTTTTATGTGAATTGTCAGACTACTCTTAAATAAAAAGCACCCTGAGTGGCTAGAATAATGAAGAAAAAATCGACCTCCTCAGATAAAAAAGTTAAGATCTTCGTAGATAAGAAATGTTGACAGATATACTCGTATGCATGTTCTGACAAATCCGCAAAATAGTTTTATTTTGTAACTACATTATCCATAATTCTATAGAAAGTTACTATAATTATACCTTCCATTTATTTATTTATACAAAAAAACAACGGGTTGTCTCTGTTTTCCTTACAGTGTATATCTAAGCTACCCATCGTACCACGTGAAGTACAAACAGCCTATAGTGCTGCCGAACAACATTGGCCGCACGACACCGATACCGGCGCTGCCAGACCGCACTCTTGCTGGACGATACAATAAAGCGGCCTGTAAACTTTTCGTGAGATAGTAACACTAGTTCTGAAGGTATATATAAAACACAGCTGCTTACACATTTTAACTATTATATACGTTAAACGTATTACGTGCTGTTTGGTTTATAAATACTATCTAATAGTATACTATGTTTCCAAACTGCCCTTCTTATTTACATGTTAGGGGTACACAGAAGGAGGTAGGGAGGGAGGTCGCGTCACCTACCGATTGTCGCAGGTACTCACTGGGCATGGTTGCTTCGGTGAGTACCTGGATCGGACTGAACCCGAGAAGACGGCACAATGCCAGCACTGCTGCACAATGCACACTGGCACTGGCCAGCACACGCTGGAAGACTAAACGCGAGGTCCTGGTCGACCAAATCGGACGAGACCTGTCCCCGCTAGCAATTATTGCTGCCATACTGGCGGGTGAGGAGGACTGGGGCACAGTGGTCTCTCTGTGAAGCTGTAATGCTCCAGAAAGAGACCGCTAAACGGGATCGGGAAAGGGCCGATCCCGAGCGTAGCGGACGTCGCCGCAGGCTGAGGCGAGAGTGGGGACCTCTGGTGGCAGATTAACTGTAGGCGATAGGATGGTGACTTGGTCGCAAAAATGCGTTCGGTCCGCAACATATTATAAGGATTGGCCGATAGGCGAAAGAAGCTTTCTTTCCCCGGGAAAGGGCCTGGCCAGGCGCGGCTTCGATCCGGGGGGATCTGAAATAACGTCTGTCGGGATGGTTTTTAGTGGAAGCACCACATACTCCTGGCTCCTGCGGCCCCGAACAGCCGGAGATCCGAAAGGATTTTCAAACCCGTCAACAAAAAAAAAGGGGATACAGAGAAGGACTATAGCACTTTAATCAGAAAAAAGAAATATTTTCTAGGGATATTAAATAATTTTGCAGGCATAATGTAGTTCCTAAAAAATCTCTAACAGCGATAAGGTTAGTGAAACGTAAGTATAATAAATATTCAATTACGCAATTCATTTTTGGTTTTGTTTATTAGGTGTAGTCGGGCGCCTTTCTACTCGCAACAAGTATGTAATTATGCAAAGACGAACCCAAGAGGAAGAACTACCGAAGCAAATGAGGCAACATTTATTTAAACATGTTTTTATTTACAATCTGAAGTAAAATGTTGATGCAAATTCCGGAATTCTAGTTATAACGAGTTTAAATTCATTGCACCCGATGCTGCCACTGTGGTCCAGATTAATTTCCTTTAAAATCTGAAAATAGAATATAATTTACTAAATTTGTTAATTTCTCTGACAAAAATGATACAGGTGAAGTAAATCTGGCAAGAATTAAAGAAAAGTATTTATTTAAGTATATATATACACTAGCGGACCCGACAGACGTTGCCCTGTCAAATTTGACACTGCGATGGTAGCGCCGTCTGTCGGATCCAATGTAAAACATTCCAAAATCAACAACTACTAATAAATTAAAAATTAATTAAAAAAACATTGTCCAGCGGACAAAATTGTGAATCTAAACCATTCCCAGATCCCCTTGAACACACACAAAAAATTTCATCAAAATCGGTCCAGTCGTTTGAGAGAAGTTCAGTGACATACACACTCACAGAAGAATTATATATTTAAAGATAGGTGTGCGGTTGCGCGTGCGTGCGTGTGTATGCGTGTGCAATTGTTTTATCCATGGGCTTAGGTATATATATATATATTATATAAGACATGCTACTAGCTATGCGACTAGCTACGTACCCGACGCCTTTTGCGGTGCTTTTTCATTCAGGCGCGGATAGACCATTTACGCCTTAATGTGTGCGAGGTGGGGTGGGTACAGCTGAGTAAAACCTTCAACTACTATGAAAAACACTCAGGGTTTTTTATTATATAATTGTAGTTGCTTTTGTATCAAATATGTCAACTATGATTGTATTCGACCGTAAAGGGCAACTACTTTGTTTAGATTGTGGGATTTGGGACACTCGGGTTGAAGTACTTTATGTCTAGTAGCAAGGAAATAACGGATTGTTTATTTATAACTTACAACATCACATATTTTCATTTTCGATTCTTCATCAATATAGTGAGTACTGTCTTTATCACTGCAGGTTAATCTATCCACGATCTGGCATATATCCTTTGCTGTTATTTCATTGTCATCATCTAAATCTGTGAGTATAAATTCATAACAATGAAATAAAATGTAGTGTGTTTGTCTTCACAACTTTTGTAACAAAATATTAAAGCAGAATACATAAAGCGAATAAATAATAATAGGTTCTTGTCGTTTCGCAAAATTGAGTTTAAAAAATATTCCGTCATATTGTAGACCGTATCGTGAGTTGTTCAAGGAGAAACAACCTGGAGCGAGCTTTTACAAATTTAAAAAAGTTGTGATCACTATTAGAAAAGCTTGGAATGGCTTCTTAATATTTGAAGCAAAAATGACTCACCAAATATCCTGAAAGCCCAAGCTGATTTTACCTCTACAGGGCACTCTGAACTCATAACAGAACAAAGATCCAGTAGATCTTCGAATGAGAAGCAATCGTCATTCTTTGAGGAAAATACATGGAATATCCGATCTTGAAATGGATTATTCTGAAACATTACTTTTTAAAGAAGGAAGCTTTTAATTATAAAACTTTCTAGTAACGAGGTATAGACGATTTGTCTATACTTCATTACTCCCTCTCTCTTAATTTAAGGGCCAGACCCTAGTCGATGGAGAAATCGCCACGCCTCTATTTTCTGCGATCTGTTTGACCTCTTGATAGGCCACAAAACATATATATGCAGTATTGCACTTTATGGGTGCAAAACGTGGACGCTGACCCAGAGACAGAGACAGGTTGGCAGCATTTGAAATATGGTGCTGGAGGTGGACGATGAACATCAATTGGATAGAAGAAAGAACCAACGAAGAAGTCCTACTAATGGTAAATAAAGAGAGGGAATTATTAAATGCTATAGAACACTTTGTTACTACATATTATAAAATAGGAGGACTTTATATCTGGCTGTCTGTTCGAACGCGGTAAATGCCACAAGTATCAACCGAATTTTCATACAGTTTTAAGATGACGTGGCACTCTCCCAGTCGGTGTCTTTGTCGCGCGCTAAACATGACAACAATCAACGTATCCCCTACGATTAAATATTTTTTCCATAAAAGATCTTGTAAAATAAATCAACGATTCAATTCATGTATTATTTTATTTATATATGGATGTAGAATTAAGAAAAAAAAATTAAAGTACTAGAAAATACTTTTAAACTAATAATTCAATAAAGCAATATTTTACGGTAACTTTACTTGATTAAATTAGACTATAATTTTCTCTATTCTATCTATATTTATATCAGCTTAACTGGAACAGCTCCGCTATATGGTTTCAAGTGTTTTTCTTAAAAAAAAAAGGCACAAAAGGAAAAAAATGGACATTATATACTGCTTTGCTTCCCGTGCGATAGACAAAGAATTTAAAAAGCTTTTTTATTTCTTGAACAGAAGAATCAGTAGCAATATTTATCTAAACATTTTTTAAATAATTATGTACAGATGCATGTGTATGTATAAAGTTTTCTTAATACAACATCATCATTGCCACTTGTCACAGCACATATATTTACTAATAACCATGTAGGTAGATATAGTTGTCATAAGAAGGTTATACCAATAATTACCTTTAGCACTGGAAACTTGTAGATAACTTCAGTTTTATAAAATCGATATTGAGGATCATTCTGTAGTTTTTCTGGGTCAATCGAGTAGAACTTTTTCATTAGGCTGTAGGATTAATGGTAGGTATCTAAATTTAAACTAGGTATATCAAATATAAAAACGTAAAAGTCTTAAGAATAAATGGTCCATCTAAAGGTTTTCTGTAAGAAATCGCAGACTGCGATAAGGCCGCCCATTGTATCACTGTTTGTCTTGTTTGTATTCTACATTGTATGTTTCCTAACCATGGTGTACAATAAAGAGCACCTACCTATCTATCTAAAGATATTGTTATAAATTAACATCTTTATTAAACAAGATGTACTCATATGCGCAAATAAATTAAGTTTAATCTTGAAAACAAGTATTTATTTAATGGATACTCGTACAGAATTACACAATTGCCTGCAACGTAACACAAAGAACTGGTAGGTAACTAAACGGCCAGTTGTTTTATGCAACTTTAGACATCTTAATTACAAATTATCATTGCGAGGAAGTTAGGCCTAACTAAGAGCGCGTATTTCATATCTATAGTAAGAATTGTTCTACTTACTGTAGTATTTCACCTTTAGTCAAATAAGTTAGGGAGGCGTAATCCTCGATTAAATCTTGGGTTAAACCCGGGTACGACTGCTGAGCACCCATTTTGACAGAAGTTCCTTTGTCTAGCGAACAATTGTCACTGCTAGGCAAGTAATAGGTACAGCTTAATAATAAAAACGTATAGCATCGAAATGATCGATAATCTTATCATTTGCATTAACAGGAAACATAACATGATTATCTTTGATTAAGGTTAAATGTATTCTGTTGATTGAACAAATTAAACAAAGCTATTTCGAAGAAAATAATTTATTGTTCACAAATAACATCTGAGATCACACTACAACACATCCATACTTACATGAACATAGTCAACCTATTTAAACACGCAAGTTACACCACATTGAATATCCATTTAAACACATCATGTAATGAACTACTACTTACTAGACAGTTGTATATAACGAAATAAATATATAAGACAAAACATTACACTGCATTGATAGAAGTGTCCAAGCAAAGAGAATGACTAAATAGTGGTTCGTTCTATTAAACTTTAGTATACATCGAAAAATCTTCGTCCTTCTTACGCTAACATTGAGCACATTTTATATGAGATTTAGCATCGAACAAATTGATTGAAAATTATGAATGAAAAGGCTAAGTTGAGTGAGTCTAATAAAAAACTGTACTTTTTTATTACTGTATTCCTATGCAGTAATAACATGTCTCGAGGGTACGTTTGCATTGCTTCTTACCTATATAAAGCTACTTAACTATAGACGCAAAATACGTTCGTAACACTCCACATACGCAATTACTTGGAAACAGCGACGCCAACAACGCATAACATGCACATTTGCACGCATAGTCAACTCCACAGTGAAAAAATACACCTATTTAGAATTAAAGAACGTTGAAAACGCTTTGGGGGCGTTTGTGTCGATACAGACAGAAATGTACAATCAACTTACCAAATTTCGCAACATCAACAGTTAACCATCATGGCTTTCATGCACTTGTAGTTATCATTCGTTAACTAACATGCCATATGTATTATTAATAAATATGAACATGTCCCGCGTGTTGTATTTGGTCAAAACATATAGTGTTTCCGATGCCACAAAGGTAATTTACTTAAGTAATATTATTCAGTTGCATTGATTTCACTCCGAGAGGTTGAAAGCACTTTCACTTATTAAACTAATATAATTATCACTAATATTTACACATCTTTGTCAACTTGTATTAAAATGTTAATGCCACGTCGAAGCACATCACCTCTTGGGGAAATCGACGTTGTCGAAACTTATTTGGCGCCTCGCTCGCATCTTAGCTGCTTCTTCGAAAGAAGGCATGGAATTAGATTTGAAAAGGCCTAGACTAGATTTGTCAATCATGCTAAGCCCACTGCTGCTATTCGAGTTACTATCTATATTAATTAATTTGTCTTGTAGAATGTTTTTAGAAGAGCTCTTTGTTTGTTCTTGTTTCATTCCGCCACTGCATGTATTTTCTTTGATTTGTGAGGTGCTGGGTGCGTTCTGGCGGGCGCGTAGCTGCTGATAAGCTTGCGCGGATATATAACCAGTAATTTTGCTGTTGGTCTCCTTTGCTATTTTCTGCTGTTCCTCCTGGAAACATTCGTCGACTGAGCTGCCTTTGATGATGGCAAACACGTATCGACGAGCAAGTCTGTGGAAAAACAATATAGCGTCATTCGAATTTGTATGCAGGTTATTGATTTAATTAAATGGATGTAAGCAGATTAATGAGTTAATTAAACGACTCTCTAAATTTCCTTGTAAATCTAAAGTCACTATACCGACATACACTTTAGAATTGATAAGTTGTTTATTTATTTAGCCTGCAGCATAAAAAAATATATTAATTTGCACTCACTTGAGCATAGTTTCCGAAGTAGAAAGCGTGGGTGTGTTGAGCTGGGCGGCGTGAGGCGGCAGCTTGAGAAGGCGGCGCGTGAGGCGCGCCAGCAGCGACGCCTTCTCGCGGAACCCGGGCGATGACATGCGCCAACCGTGCACGCGCAGGGCTTCTGATACCGCCCACAGTAGTTTCTGATAACAAACAAAAAAAAAAACAAGGTTATCAACAAGGAAAAATTAAAAAGATAATAATATTTAGATACAATAATATTAGCCTAGTTGTTTAAAACGGGTTTTCGTACAAACTAAACTTAGAAGCTTTATTTGGTTAAGATAAATGCGTAGCTGTTTTGAAGGAAACAAAACGCATTATTGTAATTAAAAATTAAAAAAAAACATTAAAAGTAATCAGAATTCAATCATACCTTTTTATGAAGGTCATTTAATTCGGCTGAGTTCTGTGATGCAAATGCTTCAGAATTTCGACGAGCAAACGAGTGAGAATGCGAGCCTTCTAAAGAGTCTCCTCCGAAGGACAAACTCTTGGCTATTTTACTTCGACTGCTATTCGGTTCATCGTCAAACATGTCGCGTTTTCTTTTTAGAAATTGATCACTCTGTGTCCCATCCATACTTTTTGTTTCAGCTGGTTTAACGGGCGAACCAAATAAAGCACGCTTCGATTTCATGGCTTGAGCTGGTACAGACGATGAAGGAGCAGCAGGAATTGGTTTTCTATTATCAGGACTGATGAAAAGAGCTCTCTTCAATGGTTCCCTCGAAGGCTGGGATCTCGTTAATTGGTCAGAGTCCATTAGTAATCTTCTCATTGCCTTTTTCTTGCTGGACCCTCCACTTCGTGTCTTGGGTGTTTTAGCTGGCGTTTTCTTGCCTGGCGTCTTGCGTGTGGGGGTTTTCTTGCCAGGTGTCCGTCTCGTACGTGGACTTTTTCGCTCTGACGAGTTGATGAGTTTTCTATGTGGGAAGAAACTGGAAAATATTGTGATCTTAGTTTTATGAATACAGAAAGATTTAAAAAACAGATTTAAAATTACTTAACTTTAACTTACTTTTTATCAATTAACACCATTCTAGAGGTGGATGTTTGCGCCTTCTCTCCGATGGTGGCTGCACTTGCAAACGCTTGTCGACGACGCGCCAAGTGGGACAACCGCCGTCCAGGGGATTTTGCTTGAGCCATTCTGTGAAATAAATGTGGTTTTAGATTGCACAGCCAAGAGGCTTAATAATTATGGATCTGAAGATTTCTGCTAAGGGCATACAGAAAAAACTTACTGCTGCTCAATATTGGAGAGAAAATGCCCAAAGGAGATTGTCCACTTTTGGGCCCACGCGTTACAGAAATAATATATGGTGGCAAAATGTTGTTCCTTTTTATCAATACAAAAACACAAGGAATAGTTTTAATCTGTAAATTGCTAAATAAAAATATTTTTATTTCTTTTAAGTCCAACAATGTATGAGAGATGGGTATTCTCCTTTGAACTAATGTTATAAATGGGGCAAAAGTGGAAAAATAATAATAAATAAATGATTTTCGAGGCGAACATGGAATAAAATGTGGGAAGAAAACGGAATTATAAAGAGGCCTCTCAGGCCTATGTTTATCAGCAGTCTGGTTATCAGGCTCTGCCTAGTTTGGGATCAGATGGCTGCGTGAAATGTGTAATGTTATTATTATTATTAGATTCGAACCATACTGCCATTCTAGAAGTTCTCTTATATTCAACATTCTAAGTCTTTTAAGTCAACCTAGCCGCGCATCACGATATTGACCAATTACAAGCCCAATATTTACCTTTATAATTGAAATTATTAATTGATGTCAACATATTTGCATTGTTTAAACAGACATTAGAATTTCTAAAGGATATCATTAACGGTAACATTAGTTAACGAGCGTAACAAAACAATACATGATAACATTAGTTGCTGGCTCATGTCTTCCCAAATTAAGTAATGCTTTAAATTTTTTAATGAGGTTGATATAATTTTAAAGCTATGGCTATGCATATCTTACCCATAAAATTAAGTAGTCATTAGAAAGTTTTTTAATTACACCTAATTAAAGATCCCATTGTTCTATGTAGGTACTTTAGTAAAATGCATTTTTTTTTTAATAATATATCCCTTCAATATTATAATTCGATATTAAGGAAGCCTTATGGAAATTTTAAGGATGATGAGCTAATATACAATACAAAGTTCAAATAATTACCCACTGAGCCTTACCCCATGACGCCTAGGTCAAGTTAACTGCTTACATTGTATTATAAAAGCCTCTTATAGAATTTTAAGAATAACATCACTCACTCACAACTATAGAATAGAATAATCTTTATTGTACACTAATTCAGGATACATACAATAGTATTCCAACCTTTGGATGGACAAATAGACTGTAAATAGATAATTTCATGACCAGATTTGGTGAGAAAAAAGTGTAAAGGTAAAACAAAATGAAAAAAATATAGTTTAAAAAAACTAAAAAACACGCTTTCTATAGAAAACCAAACAGGTTTTTTTTTAAATTAGTGTATTGTCATCGGTCCTCGATATATCTACAAAGTTTGAACGAATTCTTACCGTTTAAAGTCAAAATCACGCCCAAAGGAGTCGGTTACAAACATACAAACAAACATACAAGTGAAGCTAATATAAAGCATGTAAAAAAAATTATACAGCACAACAGCATTCCTTTAACCAAGTAGTGTTTATCACATCAACAGCCTTTAATAGTCTACTGCTGGACATAAGCCTCTCCTTACAAAGGAGGTTTTGGCCTACTATACCATGCTGGCGAGATGGGTTGGTATAGGATTTGTGACACGTTTGCCTACTCTCTGCAGTGCTGTTGTTCTGCATAGTTTTCTACCTTAGTCGGCTCTTACGACACCCACAGGATGAATAGGGATGGTAACACTTTGTATTACAATATTTGTATACTTAATCCGTCACCATACAGACGCGTTTACTTATGTTAAATTAGTTCACAATCAATATTTTCGAGTTCTATAATATTATTATATAGAGTAGGTTACACATACATATTACATTTTTTTTTTCTCCGAGATTTTCCCAAATTAGGTTGGGTCGGCTTTAAGTCTACTATGACATGGCTGAACTTTGATTTTTTTTAAGCAGAGCAACTGCCAACAGTCCTCCACGACCCAAGGACCTACTAGGCGATATCGAAGTTCTGTAGAAAAACTGTTGTCGGACTTTTTGGGACTACCCGTAACGATTACCACAGATGTTCATATGGCAACAAGGAAATAATTTACAATTTAAAATTGTATGTCTTATCTATACAAATCAATAAAACGTAAGTGTCTGTTTGTAATGTCAAAATAATAGGTTTTTTTCATGCTCACACGGTTATTTGCACGATACCTATGCCTAAAAACCAGTTTAAATATTTTTTGTCTGCCTGTTTTATCTATTTATTACAAAATTAATCAATCTATTTTATTGAACATACATCTGTGAATGATAGTCATCATAATTTTACGTCTTATGCTGACAAAATGTGTGGTTGTGATTTTGAGTTATCACTATCGACTTTCATCTATTAAAAGAGAATTATAGACAATCAAGTAACGAATATTTATTTGTCCCAAAAAAGACAGACAGAGCAAATAATTATTATTTATAATAGTGTCACTTACTTAAGTCTCAATGCTTTCCGTTTGCATGCACTGCTGGGGGACTGCATGCCTCCAGAATAAATATTAACACTAGTATCAGTCTCAGCTCCAACATATCTTTCTCCATAGCGCAATGCAAGTAATTCTAATCTTTCAGAATGCTTTGTCACATTGTAACTGTAAATGAAAGATAACAAAATTATTAACTAACAATAACTATATTAGACTCTATCATCTTGGACCATGTGTATATCGTCTTTTCATGCATTACTTATATTTAAAGCTTATAGAGACATATGTTCTTCTTAATTGTTAATATATTTAAAGATTGTTTTAAGGTATGTCAAACTATACGACTACAGGAGATGCTTTATGTGTTGAACCAAGTTAGTAACAGAAAAACAAGGGGCAAGGCAAAAAGTTACGAAAAAAATTAAAGTATGTAACAAATTTACAGATTGAAAATACATGGAAGACAATTTAGGACAATTTTTTTAACAAGATGTTTTAAATTAACAATTTAATGAAGTTTCTCATATATGACATTGATATATTATGTACAAAGTATGTATAAGTGAAATACTTACTACACATCATAATATTTGCATTTGATCACATCAGGCCACAGTGTCTCAGTAGCCTCTACTTCTGAACACGTTTTCAAATGTATGCTCCTATCGTTTCCACTTGTATCTGACTCAGAGGTATCATGAGATATTGAACTCCTTGGCTTTTCTGCATCATGACTTTTTGAACCATCTTTTATTTCAGGAATTTCAACAAAAGAAACCCTTTTGGTAGGTGTAGTGTTTAATTCGGGTGGATCAATTTTAGCACTGTCATTGAAAAGTGGTAGGTAACAATAGTATTTTTTCAGCATTTCCGTCACATCTGTTTTTAGAATGGTGACTGAAGGTGGTGGCAATACTCCTTGTAGAGTTACCTGTAAGATACAAATATAATATACATTATTTCACTGTCTCAGCAGCCACTCTAATCACAGTACAGAAATATAAAACCAAATAGTGAAGCCTCAGATATTTTTCTAGCTTAGCAGTGTTCAGTCACCCTATTCATTTTGCTTTCAGCTAATTACCTTCTTCCTTAGACCCATCTAAAAACTATTACATTCACAAACGAGGTTGAAACTAAATTAGCAGTTAGCCATGAAAGAAACCATCTTAATTATTTTTCAATTTTACACATTGTGCCAAACCCAAATGAAATTTGAAGTAGGGTAGGAATGTAAGGATGAGATTTTTGAGTGATTTTATTTTTATTATTCTATTGTCACTTTCTGTGACTGTATATACACCTTTCCAGAGAGTTTACAGTAATTTTGTTTTTTGCTATTATTACAATTGTTAGTACAATATTATTTGTAAAGGAGTCTAATAATCACCATGTGACCTCATTAAAAAGGCAAGCATTTAGAGGTTATTATCATATTTATGATTTAATCAATGTTGAAAACGAAAGACGTTATAGTTTAAAATAGGGATTCCCAAAGTGGTCCATATCAACCCCTTGGAGTTGATATTGGTTTCCCAGGGTTCAACATAAACAAAAACTGTTTTTTTGGGTCAATGAGGTCCAAAAATCGATCCCTATATTAATAGGGGTTTCAATTAGTTATACAAGTTTTATTTTAAACTTTCAAGATACTGTATTAGTTGTGTTGAGTATCAACTTCTTATAAAAACGACTAATATTTTAGTAAGAAGTATCATTTCTGTACTTTTAAAAACTCGACAAGTCAATAAGTGTGCAGTATTATACTATGGGGATCTGAGGTATCAGTTCATTTTAGAAAAGGGGTCTCTTGTCCGCTATAGTTTAGGAATCACTGGTTTAAAACTTTAAGTTTATAACTAAAAACCTAAAAAAAAAAACCCGAGAATGGCTAGTAGGCAATATTTTGAAATACTGTTACCTACTGCAGCAAATTGTAAAATACATACATATAAAAATCAGCCCATAATGTAAATAAAGTTGGATTTCTTAAGATTTTACAGTTAATTTATGTGAGATGAACTCTCAATGGCAGAATCAGCTGTTAATTTAGTAACTGAAGTTAATTCTAGCATAATGTAAACTAGCATGCTACAATGAAAGACAGTGTGATGAAAACACACCATTTCATTTTATTCTCATTGAAATATTTAACATTACCTTTACAGGTATAAAATTTTTTCTTAGAACCAGTATTCATTAATTAATTAATAAATTAATTATTTAAAGGTATAATGTACAATACAGGCTAAACATTGATTAATTATTGAAGAACTCACCTCTATTTTTTTGACTTTCCGTTTATCAAATGATTCATAGTCCTTGAGGAAATGCCAAAAAGGTTCTGGCTCTGATGTGGCCTCCTCTTCCTCGCCATCAGAAAACATGTCTGGAGACCTTACCCCACTGTCAAAAGAAGCTTCCAAAGAGGAATAACTTTGTTCAGAATTCCATTTTGCTGCACTGATATCGTCATTCACACTATGACTGTCTTTTTTTCTTTCCTCATACTGAGAGTCACCAGTACTCTCTAAGATCTTGTCACTGACATCTGACGTACTGCTTGTTCTAGATTCACATGTACTGCTTTCAGTCACATGGCTATTATTAAAACTACAAGTGCTTGCAAAATGTCTACTACATTCTTCTAATGGTTTATCTTCTAAATTAACTAACACAGTTATCGGATCCACAATTGGTTTCATCTTCTGGACTTGCTTTAGCGTACCATTAAACGACAATTCGCTGATCGGCAACTTAAACACACTGTCCGTGGGTCTCACTTGACGGAACATAGGCACGCTATCTACAGCATTGTTGCTGTTTTCCATAGTAGGCGTTATAAATACAGGATGTTTAGTAGTCTCAATCTTCGTTTCTTCGGAAGACGCTTGTACGTCAGTAGGGTTGGATTTGTCGTTTATTAAACTACGTTCGACCGAGTTTTCAAGCAATGAAGCCGCGAGAGGTGTGCAGGGAGAATGTACTTTAACACAATCAGTGTCTAAACTAGACTCCTTATCACTTATAAGTTCACGCACAACTTGATTTAATAAACTTGGCTGACTTTCAGCTGGTTCACTTTGTTTATTTATAACATTTGATGTTAGAATAGGTAACTCGATGTTATCTCTACTACGAGAGCTTGAAGAATCACCATTATTCAGGATTACAAATTCATTATGTCTGCGGTTTACACTTTCTTCAATAAGAGGATCTACTACATTGAAACTACGTAAATATCTCTCGTACAAAGAAAAACTATTGCTTAGAGAGTGACAATTAGAGTCTTCGAAGGATTCCATAACCACGACAATACATTCTCGTTCACGAAAACTTTTATATAATTATTATGATTTAACTTTTACCTATATCAATATAATAGTATATTTATTAAACTAAATAAATCACAACATGAATCTATACCGAATGATTACGTTTACGCCAGCTCAGCTAACTGAAACACAAACTGAACCATCCTTCCGTCCATCTCCATTTACGCTTACGCCATTAAGCCAGTGTTGCCAGACGGAATTTGTAGATTATAAAATTTTAAATTAACATTTAATAATATAAAATATGTTTAAAAAATGTATGTTTCTTTGTTAGATTTATAAAATATCAAAATTTTAAAATACTACTGACCGCGTTACGGTCTGTAGTATTTTTAAAATTTTCTGTTTTCTGAACTTGATCCGACCGAACGTGTTCCCCTTTTGCCCCAAAAAAGGCTAGAGGCCTTGAGAGAGGCCAGAGGCTGAAAAAACTATAAGAATATAACCAAAGGCGGATTAAGTATCAAGAGCGCCCTAGGTAAGCATCTCATCGGCGTCCTCGCACCCCTAAACTATATTTAAATATTTACTGTATTATAGTTGCCTATAGTTGAAGTTAGCTGTTGTTGTATTCTTTGTTGTTGTTTTATTCTTTAAAACACCTTTTTTTGGTGTGGAAACCTCCTGGGGCCCCGTTGGGTTTACGGTGGGGCGGTGTATTGGCATCGAAAACGGTTTCGCATTACTTACGATTCGAATCCGATCCGAACTCATGAGTACTCACGGCCAGGGCCTCTGCTAGATTTTTTGAACGCCCGCGTACACTGCCAATGAAGCGGCCCTTTTTCCGTGGGGAAATCACTCTTCGGATACTCACACCTACGGATTTTATTTCGGATCAATTTCTTTTTGTCCATCTTTCAAAGAGTTTGAAATCACATTACTTTATTTGGATCCAATTATACCGCGGCTCGTCGTGGCATGCCGCGGGACGCCGCAGCATATCGTGTCATGTGGTTTCATTCTACAGATTATCATGCCACCGCGTCTCGCGACCACCATAGGTGACAGGATTTGACCCGTCCCCCTCTCCCAGAATCAAGGGCAGAAACATTTGGGCCCTGGTAGCTTTACTCGCACGATGAAAAGCAGCAAAAGATTTGCTTAACACCGGTTTTTTGTGAAGCCGAGGTATCACTCCGGTCGAGCCGGCCTGTTTCTCCCACGAAAGAATGTTTTTTCTTCAACGTATCAGTTCGTATTTGTGGTCTTCAGCCAGAACTGCTATTAACACTAAATAGGTCAAACATAATGACACAACGAACTTTGGATCCCCGCAGAGCAAGACTACTGCCAAAGGACAACCTGCCGCGCCGTGCCTGTCAGTCCTCACCAGCCTTAAAACCGCACGCCGCGCCGTCTTGGGTGGGAACCAAGTGTAACCTAGAAAGGAACTCCCTGATACCTCGATAGACCACGGCTTACAGGTGGCCCCCTCATGTGTGGTGACCACGGTTTCCCCTCTCTGTCATCCGCAGACCTCCGTTCACGGGCCTAGCGAGCGAGTTCTAAGCCCCTCCCGGTCCCACTTTGCCATCTTCTTAGCTAGCATAATTTGCTCGCAGAAGGAGTTAGTGGAAGCGTACCAGGATTAAGCCGCCCCACAAGTTCTTGAACGTAAAACTATCACCCGGTATGGGATATTTGAGGATCCCGCGCCTTGTGTGATTCAAATTATACATCATTACGCTTATTTTAGTAATTCCAAGCTTAAAAACGTTTGCATTTATTTTCGTACACCGATCAATAGCTGTTACTATTATGAGTATGACATAATAAAAATATATTAGACGTTAAAATAATGAGAATGTTTCGTTTCGATTTCTGTACGGTTTACGTACACTTAGGCAAATATAATATCATGCAGCTGATTACGCAATCGGTCTATTCTTTTCCGTCTGTCGTAATAATTAATTTGACTCAGTGTGTACTTTAATTTGGTAACGTTCGCTCCGTTGTAAGAATAGGGTATTTGACTAAGTTTACAAACAGGTTTTAGATTATTCTATACATGATATTGTATATAGTACATTAATATTTCCCGGAAATTAGATCTTTTTATATTTAAAAATCGCTTTTAAAGTTTGAATTTCTAAGTCCGCGGCAAAAACGTGCCCTGACGTCACACGCCAGTCACCTACTCAAGGGCAAGAGGGGTGAGGGGGGAGCACAAACATAGCTAAGAACACTCCTGACTAATTCTTAACAAAAAAATATCGGTTAATGCGTTAGGGAGCTACGATGCCAGAGACAGACATACACACACACACTGTAACGTCGTATTTTTAAAGGGACGATTCCATTTTATTTATAATATTTTATCGAGTGCGATTTCGTGTATAAATACGAGTAAATCGATTAGTTTATGTCAATAATCGATTCAATCAACGGATCACACCGTTCATTCCAACCCTATTAGATATGTCAGATGAACTCTTGCCGGCGCGAAGACGGCGAGGAAGCTTTCTTTTCTTTTTCGAAGAGGGGATACAGTGGACGTTCGGTCCCGATGATCTGGGGAGGATCTCCAGAAATGCATCGGCTCGGATGCTGAGGCGTCACCCGCCTTAGATACCAGATATCACCAGGAAAAACCCGAAAGGGTTTTTTTTTCTTTCCCCTCTTGTGTAGTACTCCCGCATACCGTTACTACATACATACCGCATACCCATACTATTTAAACCTAATTACCTACCTATTCGTACTAGCTGCTGCTACCTCTGGTGCTTCGAGGACTCTGAGCATCTACCAACATTACCCTCTACAAATTGCTTCCGGCTGAGGACGCCTGGAAACCAGGGCCCTTACTCAGGAAACGCTGAGGCGGTGCCTCACCTATGATCTGCCCCGCCGGGTAAACGACATTGAAGGTACCGGATCACCTAATACCAGTGTTCATCAGCTCCTCTAGGCTGTGGCCACCCGGTATCCGAAGTTCCATTTTCTTTTGTGTTTAAATATAAGTAATACCAAGGTACTACATTTGATTCGACCAAGCTCCACCACTTACCGTCTTAAGCATAGTAAATAGAGATTTAAGTAACTAATTATACTACTTTAACTCTTGACACCAATTTCTCTTTCAATTTTTTTTGTTTATTGTTCCGAGAGGTCGTTACGGACCTTAGGTTTTTTTCGTTGTATTCTCATGCTACATAGTGTATTAGATATGGTTTATGTGTTATATAATAGAAATAAATATATAGTAATGGGACACCACAGCCGACTTTTTTTTGAATCCTCAACTATCCTGACAGGTATACCCTTGCCCTTGTAACCCCTAAGGGGTGAAGATACGTTACAACACAGACACGTCAAACTTATAACACCCTTAAAAATACGTCTAAAATCTGTTTGTTTCTGTGCCAACGGATCTCAAAAGACGAAAACTGTGTTTACAATTTAGCAGTTAGCGATATTTATACCACTTCTTTCAGAATCTATTAGAAAATATTTTTAGAATTAACTAAAACACTAAAAAATCATAAAAATGCGCACTTAAAATCGGTCGAAGGAATCCACAAATTGAGATTGTTTGTTTTGTTCACTTCGTATCTTTAAGATTGTTTGTTTTGTTTACTTCATATCTTTGAATCTATGGTTCAGTTTTGACACTTGTGACTATTGCTGTGTCGTCACATACTTGTGTCCAATCATAGGACGTTCATCCATCCATCTGAGATAAAATTAAGAAAAAAAAACTATAAATTTGCTTAAAAATTGACACCAATTAGCGTGAAATAAAGTAAATTATGCTATTTTGTCCTATTATCTAATAGGATGACCTTAATTTAGAGAACATTTTCAATCTTGTCAAATAGCCTATTACTTTATATCTTTTTACGTGACTAGTGAACAATAAACTTTTGAATACTATGTGACGAGTTTCCTCTCACTAGCACACTCACACCTAAACTTACAAACTGATAGTAGTGTACAGTTCACGACATTGTATAATTTATGTTTTTGGCGGTTCTTTGAAAATGCTGCCCGTGTGCGGTGCACACTCTGCACAGCCGTACCCGGCGGCCCTGCTCACGGTCGTCACAGTATTGAGAGGCGGTACTCAATTCCCTAGCAGCGACCAAGTACAGGTATTTCCCGAAGCAGCCGTGTCCCGAAATTACCTGCATCAGTCGTAAGGAAGGGGTCGACACGGAGTGGCCACCGCGCCTGGCTCTAATCGACAATACCCTCTGCGGAAGCCAGAGCCGCGCCCTATTTTGGGCGATCAGAGCCTTCGCCTATACCGGTACACCGTATAGTACCATTGAGTAGAAACCAACAACTACACTATACTGCTATTGTAACCACTACATTTTTGTGTACACGCACTAGACGCAGTCTTCGAGCGTATCAGAGAAGTAGTGGCAATACAGTAGAACACAAAATAGAACACCTCAATAGAATTAAAGAATCAATTATATCGTGTAAAAAGGTGTATACCTACTGACACAATTCATTTTATAACATACATTCTGTTTAAAAATTCTGCGCGCTTGCCCCTTTGTAATAGAGCGCCTCTAGGCACGTGCCTACTTTGCTATTCTGATTATTCACCACTGAATATTACTATAACCTACCAAACTTTCCATAATTTAAGTTGTGAATGTTATTAATATTATAAGTATAAAATATTCTCTATGCAAAATTAAATTTGAGTGTTGTTTTCTTAATTGACGGAATATAACTTCAGTTTCAAAAATAAATCTGGTCACCTTCCTCATTCCCTTTGAGATCAAAATATTATTCTAGAAGCGATTTCAAGTTTGAGACTCGTCTTAGTAAAATGTGTGTTGTTTTGCTTAAGTAAACCTTTACTTGAAATTTTAAAGACGGATATCGAAAAAAAAAATCTTTCAACTGTTTCTGGTAGAAGAACAAGTGAGACTTGGGTTGATATCTTAAAATTGTAATATCCATTTGTTTATAATATTATCAAAATAATATTGTTATTTCAGAGTCTGGCG